TGAAGTCTCAGTCCTTTAAAACTTCTTTCGCTCCAATTCGTCACACTCATTGCGGAAAAGCGCGAATATTGAAAACCGTCATCTCAATCTACATCTACTATACTTTTGCTTTCCATTAAATCGACAAACATTTTATTTCTGCCTTCTTATAGTTCAAAACTTTCACAAATCATGAAGGTTAGATCCTATCAATGGCGGTGCTTTCTGCGTAGCCAATAGAATTAGAAGATCTAAAATTTGTCAATTTCCCTTCAAATCCTCCGTCAGCGTAATTAATAATGGAAAACAATAACGCATCTTATTGAGCTTTTAAAAAAGAAATTACCCTCACCCCCCCCCCTCAAATTTTTTGAGACATATTGTTTTTGTCTAAATATCAAGACTCAGGAAGCTTGTTTATTTGGGAGAGGAAGGAGACAAAAATAAATTTCATATGGTAAGAATTGCACAATATCTACCATGATTTTTGATACAGGCGATAAAGTAATCCAAGGTTTGGCTGGAATGTTTTGGCTGTGTAGTCTGTGGATACCAGGTAGTTTTGCTTGAATTCGAAAAATAGCTATAACAGTATGTATGGTTTATATGACTCCTGGGGTGATCAATTTGACTGGGAAGATGGAGATCATCTCCAAGCATCTTGAAGGAAAATTTTATTCATTAAGATTTCGAAAACGCAAATGCAGTAGTATGTATGTAGATCTTGTATTTTTGCATGATTGCGACTAAAAAAAATTACCTCTCTCCAGCCGTGCATTTTTTTACGATCCTATATGCGTTACCCTCCAATGTTTGGTGTCACACTTCATCGATGGGTGGGCTTCTATAGCAATGATTTTGGCGATCGGAGTAACAGCTGTTATGTGGTGTCGAGGTGACAATTTCGCATTTTTTCCTATGCATCCGATAGTTTTTGCTACCGGCCGGAGCGAATTGCGTTTTTGTCTAATGATGGCGCATAGCAGGTGTTGGCAGAAAGTGTGTGGATTGCCCGTCATTCTCTACGGCTAGTCATCTTCTTCACTATTAACTATCGTAACAGGGCCTGATCTCGGTCTAGAAGTGAACTTTGTCTGGATTTGGGGCTCTATATTTCAGTTTATGTTACGGCATAAGTAGATGCAAACTAAGTTTGTGAGAAAGCTAAGCTTTAAATTATCAGTTTGGTTACGAAAATATTCACTGATCTTGTCACCTGTAAATTCTTGGAAGCGGCAATCTCCGGAAACCTACTAAATTTTAAATAACACTCATGTGCTTGGTGGCAAAGTTTCTTTACATGTAGTCACTCTGGATCGCTTTCCTAAAATATTCTTCTTCAGCACTGTTCAAAATATAACTCAGCTGCCTTAACATTTCTACAATATCAGAAGCCTATCCTCTTTCCTTTGCAACCATCCACAAATTTTCATTATTTGCTTCTCAAGATGCTTCTGTGCTTGATTTTTCGTAAAGACTTAGAAATTTGATCTTGCCCCCGAGTAAACACTTTATAAGAAAATGTTTACTCCATCCTCAGTCTCAGCGCTCTATGTTATAGTACTTATGAAGATCTTTTTTCAAAAGTATTTCCAAATACTTCTTTATTTGCTTTAGAAGTGTAACAAGTAAACTTCAAAGTAAACTTCATTATTTGTTTTTAATCTCGTATTTCTCATACCAACTCACAACAAAGGTGCCGCATAAAGAGTATGATTTCTGCAATCCTCCAAATTCTATCAATTTGCGAAGAAGTTTGATTCTATAAGGACGTGGTAACGAACTTTTGAATAATCCAAGAAGATTTTATAAATTGGTGATTAAAACAAAGCATTGATTACCAAATGCCTGTAAATTGCTTTCAAAGGATAATCGTCATTTTTCGCAAAGCATGTTTTCCCACAATGATATGAAATTTGTGCAAACAAGATTCAGATTCAAGTAACAACCAAAAAGCGACCCTATCACTAGTAGACCTCCCATCTCATTTACATCCTCAGATTCCAACGCGAAATAAATTGATGTTCCATCCAGTGAGTCCAATTATCATTTAGCAAATTAGAGCGCTTATCAAGGGCTGTAATACCCCGCCGAAAACAAAAGGATGATTTACGAACTCATTTATGTACTGGGCACAGACGGCCTCCAGCCACCATTTGCACTCGCTTTGATAAATAACAGAAATTTGAAGGTTAAAAATTACGAATTTCGCTCAAGAATTGAGGAATTGATCTCGCTTGGTGGCCTCATTAAGTGGTCGAATACTGCCCTATTGGCTCCATTTTTGCTTGAGATCAGAGGGTTATTTTTCATTTGGAACTGAGAGAAGAATATATCCAATATTATCTGGAAGGCTCAGAAAATTCATCATACTTGCCATAAGCATGAATTTTTTTCCGAGTTTTCATAATCACATTTTTCCTAGAACAAATTGAGTAATTTTCTTCATTTGCTTCTAAAACTTTTAGCTTCTGATACCATCTTATAACATAGGTAAAGTGCATTTGCTTCTTACAAGTAATTCTATCGAAATGAAAAGGAGTTACAATTTTTTTGAGAAGGTGGGAAAATCTTTTGGACAAACCTAATATTTTGTTTGGGCAGAGGCACTCTAATCCAAACTAGACTATCAAAGCTTGAACTAATCCAAATAATGGAAATGTTGACGATGTATTTACTTTATTACTTTTTGGTCTCAAGTTTCATAAGGAAGCAATCATTGTTGACATTTAAAAAAGCTGAAACCCAATGCTACTTGAAAGCATTACGAATATTTGTACAAATAGTCATCTCCACTAATTGATTTTCATACTTTGCTGTAGCCAATTTTTTCTTTGGGCTTTGCACACCTGTTCGTACATTGATGGGCATTTTAGATGGCTCTTTCGCTGGTTACTCTTATATGCTTATGGCTAAACTGTTGCTATTCAAAATATAAGGATTGCTTGGCCTTTTTGCATAGTGTCCGGGCTAGCCCCAATCCCAGAATGAACTCCAAAAGAACTCCTTCCCTCGCATTTTAGCATGCATTCGGATCAAGTTACAATTGACACCAGTGCATCCCATTTATTCTTATTTCGCAACGAGTTCCTGTCTAGTCCAGCTCTCTTTCACGATTTCAATCCTAAAACAAATATTTTCGCTAGATTTCATAACCTATAGCGAGACTCCCCCGAGTAGTAGTATTTTACAGTTGATAGATTACTTTCTTTGCTGTATATTACAACTTACCAGCAAAGATTTGTTTCCAAATTTTGCAATTTTTGTGACCTAAGTGATTATAATAATTTAATGAATTTTCTTGCTTTTCGGTATGCTACATTTCATAATGGGCGTGGCCTATAAGAATGATCCCGGGTAGTACTAGGTTGTCCGAAAAGTAAACCCCTTCTTGCAATAAATCATAATGTTTTTGTCTCCCTAGTACACCTAGGGCCCAGTTCGATAGAGTTAAGCAAGCTCCAAAAGATGACCACCGGAAATCCACCTAGGACTAACTCATGTAGAGTTCGAAGATAAAGTTACATTGATAGAAAATCGATTTTCGTTGAAAAAAATCTTACGAAGTTAGAGGTCGTCAGCAGATATACATAGTACAGTCATAAATCCACTTAGTAGGTTTTCTTCGCGACAACCAAAAATGGCAACTCCGCCTCAGCTCCTCCCACAAATGTGACTGTATACTGGAAGCTCTAGTTAGATAATCCTAAAATTATGCCTTTGTAAAGAGTGCCTCAAAAGCAAGTGCACATTTTGACGTTACTTTCTCCCCTCAAGTCTTTTGTTTAGGGTTTTCTTCGCGCATAGAAAAACAACCGAAAATGGCAACTCCGCATCAGCTCCTCCCACTAATGTGACTGTGTACTGTAAGCTGTAGTAAGATAATCCTAGAATTAAGACTTTGTAAAGAGTGACCCAAAAGCAAGTGCACATTTAATCGTTAGTTTCTCCCCTCAAGTCTTTTGTTTAGCTTTGAGTACCATTCAGTAGCAAGCTTTAGCTTAGATTTACAGTATGGAAATCACCCATTGGTCTTCACATTACGGTAAGAACATTAAAAAGGGGTTTGAGCCTCACTAGTTACATTTTTCCGCAGGCTGAGTGCTGAAAGTTTGCTGAAAGCTGAAAGTTTCATTATTAAACTGAATCGTCTCGCTGGCTATGAATGTGAAATTCGCACTCTACAGTAAGGCTATCTTCAAAATTTATGCCAAGCCGCAACAACGTATTTTTGATGTTCTTCCAAAAAGTGGTTGAACCATGTTTGAAAACACTGCTACACAACTCCCAGATTTTTTTGGATTTCTATTCAAAACGCCCCTTTCACATTGCCTGCTACTGAACTTTGAAGTAAGAAAATGGCTGGGACATACCAAGTCAAGTTTGAAATTAAAAAAAAAACTCGAAAAAATGACATTTTTGCATCTTAAAGCTTTGTCGTAAAATTCCAACAAACATTTATAATTTGAACTGGAGCTGCATAGGGATCTTCATAAGAAGATCCAATTCTTAGAGTAGTGAAATTCCGGCACGACTTATATGGGTCTTTGGCGTTTTATTTGTGAAATTTGCTCTATATAATAGTACCCTAAATCTGCTTGAAAAAATGAACAGTTTGATTTATCCGAAAAACGTTTGCATTTGGGACAACCTAAGCTATGTTTAGGGTGTTTAGGGGCAGAGATTGTGCTTACCCTTTTGCTAAACCGAAGAGTTTTACACTACACTAGTATTTAATTCTTGTATCGAATATCAGGTGATGGAAATCTAATTTCATTTGTTTTTCATGGTGTTTCCCCCATAAAGTGGCCTATTTTTACTCAAAATTTCTCGAATTTCTCTGATTCATTATCAAAATGAAATTTCATAGCCGAGCGATGTCTCGCGCTAGCTGCTGCTCCGACGGTGGCGCCAGCTTTTCCCAGCAGCTTCGTCGCTCTGTTTGCTCTCATATTCCGGATGCTCCCCACCAGTTCGTTTTTGTCCTTTGAGTCATTCATTCGCTCCGGCGAAGAACTCAAATGCCTTGCGAAACAGTGTACTACCTTCCCACAAAGCCGGATGCTCAAGATCGGCTCAGATCCTATTTCAACCGCTTCTTCATGAAATTTGCCTCTGGTTCCTTCCGCAATCCTCGCTGTGATCATGTCGATAATATTGGCTGAGCTGGTGTCTTCACTTGACTTTTTTCAAGCTTTGGCATTTTGTTGCGCAAAATGCTATGCAAATTAGTCGGAGCGGGGACTTCGCTGACATTTTACTGGCGATTCACCTGTGACTGTAAATCTTGTACATACTATCACAGTTTAGAAATTTATTTCACACTAATGAGAATTTTTTAACATTAGGAAACCTATGCTCTTGCTATACCTACCCTTATAATTCTTTTATCTTTTGTAGAGCCACTTTTCCAACAAAAAAAACTGTTTACTGAGGGACAAGTATTCATTGAGAATTTTTGATGATAAAAATAGGTACATAATGCTGTCGAAATCCTCCGATCATAATTTTTTTTATCATGGAAACTTCTCGTCAAGTCGCTCTCATGAGTCTAGCTCTCATATATAAGTGGTTTACAGAACTTTAGTAGTAAATTCCCCCCCCCCCCCCCCTCCCCCCTAGTAGTAAATTCCCCCCCCCCCCCTCTTGATTTCTCCTCGACAAATCTCTTCATTGGACATGTCTAGCGATTGAAATACGATTGTTTTCTAGTTAAAACAAAGCTTCAAAAGCAAGATTTTTCGTCATTAGTGGCAGATTTTGCTTCTCACGTGGAGAGGTTTGTGTTTTTTTTGGTTTCTAGATCTTCTATAATTTTTTCAAAAGCATCAGGACCATAGCACAGGGTTTGCAAAAAATATCCCCCTTTGATCTGGTATAGCTCGCTTATGTTGTCTGCAGCCTTTAAGAATCTGTAGAACTGGCTTCATCTTAGATTCACAGCAAAGAGCGAAGTGTGATAGATCTTCGTTACTGTAGGGCTACGGTAGGAACCGTCAGTATAATAACGTGCTTGCAATATTGTGAGAATTTCGAAAATTTGCAAAAGACCCGTAACTTTTGCTTGGTTTTTCAAAGCGCTGACTCCAAAAATCACTTCATAAGGTCATAAAGAAGCTTAGATGATCTTATCAGGTTTTTGTCTGATTTAGAAATACTGTTAGGACACCTTGTACAGATTATCATCTTTTTCTGAGCTTTTGTTCTTTTTTCTTGCTGCGCTATTTTTTGTTTTTTTTTTGATTCGGCACACATATTTGTTTCTGCAATGTAACAATGAATGTTTCTCTACGAGTGTGCACCGTTTCAAAGAAGTGTTCGCTAATGTCAAAAGAGATTTAGGCTTTCAATGGACGATAGAACTCCGTGCGCCTCCACCGAGGAGGATCTACCTGGCTTTGTACGTTGGAAAAAGAAAAACACTTCAGTTTCTAGCATAATTTTGCTAAGAACACGGCATGCCCTCACGATCATGGTTATGATACTCCTCTTTGCACAATTCTCCTCTGTTGGTGAGTTGGTCTTACTTCTATTGTGGTAATATTTCACATCGCATGATGTAATTATTTTCGATAAGATGGTCAAAAAAATCGTTGATTAGTAAAAGACATTGCCCCAATATGGCGAAATTTCCAAAAGCTTAGGTCTTTGAATTTCCAAGCTTCGTTTTCATGCTGTGATGATATAGAGATGAGCAGTTTTGTGTGGTTGCATCCACCCGTCCTCTATTTGACGATTAAGCATGAAATTCATGATCTTTTATATTGGAATTCTTTGTTTACAAAAAAAAATGAAATTGTCTTGTCCTTGCGCAGAATGGGATCGGAGTTTCCAAATTCTTTCTCCTTTTTATAAGGAATTATCCATTCAAACGACACTTACCTTCCAATCATTATTGGAGTGCTTTTTTCAGAGATACTGAGCACTGAGCAAAAAGTTGTCTGCAGTACTTGCAAGAGTCGCAAAAGCGGTCGAACTTATATATTAGTCGACCTAATATATATATATAAAATGTTATAGTTCATTTGTTTTGTAGATTTTCATGTCAGCAATAATAGCAGGACATGAAAGGGGTCCACTTCTTTTTTTTAATAGCTACAATCTCTAAGATCTCAGTTTTTTGTTTTCTATCGCAATCAATACACTTCAGTCTAGAGTATTCATTTCAGTAATTGAATGATAGTAGGTATGAAAATAGGATTCCAGGTTATAACTTCCGTTCCGTTTTTATAGAATCTTGGGATTTCAACAGAGCATCTTAATTTATACGATCTCCCAAACATATGACAAAACGTACAAAAATTCCTCTAGAAGATAATTTCCTGCTCCAACTCTCCGTTCTCTGCAAGCGCCAGTTACGGTAGCGATTATAGACTCTTGCACTTGACACTGTACACCCTTGAACTCTATCGCAAAGTGCACGTACAGTTTGTGAGAATGAGAGCCCTTCTCCAGCCCTGATAATTTTTAGAGAGAATCTTGATGTCTTGGAGATAAAAGGGCTATTTGGAGCAATAGCAAGATTTCATGAGTCCATCAGAGCAACAGTTTATTCGTATAACTTCGGTCCTTTGCAATTCCTAGAACTGTTTGAGAATTTTGTGCGTAATAAAGTTTGGTGTACGTTTAGAAAGAAAAAAATTAATCAGAATATTCAGCTTTTTTCTCTATTTTAGATAGTAGTTCTTATTTTTTCGTACTTGTAAAAAAACACCTGCTCAAAAACACTTTTTTCTGCTACAAGAGCTGCTAAGCGGATTTTGTCAAAGAAGCTGATCAGCTACTTTTTGTACAGACGTACCAGTACCGCCGCACAACGCTAAAAATATGACCTTCTTTTGAGGTAAGCTAGGCCTTCCAGGGGTTATATCTGTACTGCAAACTTCTTGAAAAAAAAACTTCTTAACCCAGTTTCTGGTTCTCAGCTTTGCTTTTTTGCCGCTTTTTTTTGCGTAATTGCGGGTGAAAAGCACCATCATGTCCTGAGTGTTTTGATGAAATTTTTTGCAGGTAATATTTTGCAAAACTACCTTGATGCTACTGCTTAGCATCCAGATTGATTGCATAGTCATTGTGAAGTGTTCTTTTCATCGATAGCTTCCTCTCGTAACCGCACATCCTGCTTTTTGTTTATACAGCAGCAGCACATCATGGCTGCAAGTGTACTAGACACACGAGCATGACATTCGTTGCAGGATTAGCAAAGGTACAGAAAACTGGAATTAAAAGAACGGATGAGCCATGTTGGTGTTTATCTCTACAGTGTCATAGGGCAGACGAATCTATTTTTTTGTGGAATGTCGAAAAAAAGTGAGCGAAGTGTCAGGGTGCAGTCATACTTACCTCTGGATCCGGATTGGATCCGGCTGGCGCTATAGACTGGGCGCAGAGAAACTTTACGGGAGCACGTTTGGGATAATGATGTCGAAAAGCCGTGATGTCCTAACAAGTACAGTTGTGGTCTAAAAATTTTTCAAGGGGCGCTGGAGGGGCGAAGAAATATCCACGTCCTTCGGAATTTTTTTGGGGTTGAAATTTTTTTGCCTGGACTAACCTCAATTTAAGTCTTAAGAAATCATTTTTCAGGTTTAGTAATACTTTGATTGATTTAAGAAAATTTCTAAGGCAAAATCTTATAATTATATATTCAATAAATATAAGAAATACTCCCTAAGAAGGTCATATAAAATCTTGAGTAACTTTCGAAAATTATTTCATTTAGTCATTAGTAAAAGTATACTTGTGCAAAGAACTCATGTAGGCTATTGTCAAAAATTGAGACTATACCCGGATGAAATTAAAGATTTTTGCTTTTTGCGCGCAGTTTAGTGAGACGATTGGATTCGACAAGAAATATACAGCAATTTTACACATTCTGTTCACTATCGAAGAGGTATCCAAAATGGGAACTTCCGCTAATTAGCCGCCAGACTGATTGAAACGAAAACTTCCGCAGCACTTTCTAGAAAGGGGTGCGGGAGGTTCCTTACCCGAATGCACAGCGGACTTCTCGGTCAAAGGTTTGAGTACACTGCAGTTGAGTAATCTTCGCACCATGGTTTGCTCCTATTGTTGATTACGTAACTACAATTTTACTGTTTAAGTACTTCATAGAATTTTCCCGGACTCAGAAAAAGTTTGGAACCCTTATGCGTATGTGTGACTTCCACATGACCTTTTATTCGCACCCGAACAGCAGGCGGCATTGTTTGATTATGTGTAAATTGGATATGGATAAAGGTCGTGAAGGGCCGTTCGAAAGAGCGCGAATAGCATGAGAGTGGGGGATATCTGGCTGTGGTTTATGACAACTCTATACAATATGCAACATGTACGTTCCGCTGTTCTATCTGGTCACTGAAGTGCGAAATCATCAAGCTGGTAAGTATATCGTGCAAGTAGAGTAAATTAGTGCACCAACGAATCCTCTCAATAATTTGTATACCCAAATCATAGTAATTGACTATCAATTGGCGGTCGCTTCGATTCATCATAGAGTTGTTTCAGAACTTTTATCCCTTTTGTGTATCTCTTTTTTGAATTGCTGGTCTTGGGAGAAAACCCTCTTCCATCAGTTCACTCGCTTTATTTGAAGGGTTTTCGTTTAATTTTTGTGCACTCGTTTTCGTAGAACTTAGTGCGATCCTTAGAGGACAACAAAGTTAACAACATGTGGATTTCCTCCTTTTTTTAATCTACATCCATATAGATCACAAGTAAAAGACAAAGGTCTTCAAAGCATTCGTACTGCCTGCTGGAAGCCTGTGTTAAAAAGCTTACATCCAGATTTTATTTTGATAAGAGTTATGCTGTGTAAGCTTCAAGAACGGGTAAAACTCTCAAAGTATCCAAAATTTTCTTGTTGGTGTACTGTACTTGTTCGTTGCTTTTGATTGCAACCGTGTACCGTCAAACTTTTGGAGTAATTCAAGCCTTGCTGATAACATATATTCTAATAAGGTATCTTAGCTTTTCCAATCTCTTTCACCTCCGCCCTGATTTTGATTTGTCGGTTGTACTGTAGATAACAAATCGGTAGCCTATACTATACCTGGTGTACCGTATCTCGTGGAATATTGTAATCGCAAAAGCAGCTTTCAAATCGGCACCTTTGGTCATAGCAGATTAAATTTGCAGTACTAAATGGTCTTACTCTTTATTTTTAAGATTATGACAAAAAAGGTATTCCTTACCTAGTGCTAATACGATTTCAACGATCTGCGTTGCTTGTTGTTTCTTATCCTCGGAAGTCCTAGACTTTTTGAATGTTTCGCACTTTTTAAAAAGGAGAAATTAGTGAAGCCATGAAAATATAAGGACTGATAAGAATGCAAAGATTCTACGCTGAAAAGATTGTTGGACCAGAATGAGAAGTTCTTACCAAACAATTCTTTCGAGTTTACCCGGGATCTATTAGGTTGGCTAAAAAGTAAGTTCGTTTTAGCATACAAATTGTCATAAAAAATTCTCTTCTTGTTTTCAATCTATGATTTTTTGTGGGGAAGTAGTTCGAAGCTTCCCCTATCACATATCAATAATCAGGATTTTCTATCGTCAGTAAAGACAGTTATGCCTCAACATGGCGAAATTTCCAGAAGCTCAATTCTTTGACTTCTTGAGCTTCGTTTTCATGCAGTAATGGATGTAAAGAACAGCAGTTTGGTGTTTGGATACAGAGGAGCTATCACTATTTAGTGAACAACAAAAAGAATTGTGATCTGCCATTTTGAAAATTTTTCACTAGAAAAACCAAATTTTCTCATATTTGCGCATTATGGGAAAATTGCGATTTTTCACTTCTTTGCGGATTTTTTTCCTGGGAAGATAAGTTCTACTTGAACAGAATATATGCTCCAATACCCAGTGAAGTGCTCTTTTCAGGGATACCAAACATTGGACAATAATTTGTCTACAGCATTTGTAAGAGCTGCAAAGCGACCGAACTTATTTATTAGCCAACCTAATAATAATACAAAGATGCAGAATAGCTGATCAAAACGTCCCAGAACTATTCTTTCTGTGCTCAGCTCACTCCCACCCTTTTGAATACTGCGCATATGCTGAAATATGGTTTCTTGTATGCTCGCGCAACACAGCTGGCGATGTTTTTGTCCATTTTTTCGCCAACAAAGAGTTTGAGCGGAAGAGCCTAGAATGGGCGACTGCACTCAACATTCATGCACAAGCAGAGCATACCAGAAAAATTACTTCTTTGGTTAGGTAAGCTAATAGCTTTGCGCTTGATTTTCTTTTGGTTAACTACATACGATTGTACCAATCAAAACTTCGATGTAATATTGATAAAAATCTGATTTTGAATTCTAAGATTACAGAAGGTTGTCTGCCGTCATGGTTTCGAGACGATCGGAAAGAGGCGCAAGCTCTTGAGCGGAACGGTTCAGGAGATAATGAAGTAAGAAGAATTATGACACTTTATATTTTCAGCAAGGTTATGGGCAAAATGAGCTATCCCATGTTGGTAGTCTACTCGTCGATTCATCGTAACTCATCCAAGCTTCTTGAGCAAGAACTACAAGACTACCGTATCTTAAGCACATAATGCTAGTTTCATAGGCATAAAAACTGCGGTATATGGCCCAAGAAAAAAGTGTTCTGCTAAATTGCCAGAGGCTTTTTGCTTCTCAGGTTGTCAAACGTAAACCAAAAGCTTTATAGTCCAACAAAGCAACCTAACTTCTACCTGCAGTATAAACCGCAGCTTCTTTTCCTTTGCTTAGGTCTTTATAAGAGTTTTGCAAGTTTTTTGACTTCACAATGAGAGGTTCAAGAGCCTTAACTTATATAAGCCTGAAGATTACATTCACAGATATTATACTTGAAAACTTTATTCAAAACATTCTTCGCGTTCAAAGTCTTCATCAATGCTCCATATGCTTCAAACCATATATTTTTTCGACTTCAAGCTCGATACTCATTTACTGCTATCGTACTGTATTCAAAAAGCTTGCTGTTCTTACTCAAGATTTTGGAAATCCAAGATGAAGAGAAACTATTGAAAGTCAAGCAGCTGCTCGTTCTCAAGCGTACTCGATTTACTCTTTGTTTACCCAGAAGTAGTGCTTTGCTGATATCTGTGGGCGCAAATAAAACCTGGGATAGTCGCTCATGACTCATTGCGTAAGCCACCAAAGAATCGGTCATGAGCTACCTTATGAGATCGGCTTAATTCCTCACCTTTCGTAACTTTGCCCTGTTTTGTTTGATTTGCGCGATTTTTGACTTTTGAAATATTTTGCGGGCACATGCACTGAGTCACTAGTGAGCGAGTTTGCTGAGAAACTGATTATAAAAAGATATCACATAGTTTGGAAGATGTCCGAACCCCATGAATTACTGTTAAAATTCGTTCAGATCACTGAAGCTCCTCAAATAGTCGAAGCATCGCATTCAAGTGTGAAGCACAATTCACATAATCGACACCCTTACGAGACTAACGAAATTTCCGATGATGATGCAGGTGAGTTCTTTTCTAATTTTTTTTGGACCCGAAAAAACATAAGAAAGGCAAAAATAGAGCATTACTGGAAATTTGCAGCTATCTGATAGAATAATTCTGCCTCCACGATCTACAAAATAAACTCTTAAAAATTTGAAGTTGTTTATTTAATTTCTAGCGAATCTCAAAGTGTTTCTATCCTCATTCTTGCTGATGACTAAAGCCTAGACTCTTTGTTTTATTGTTTTATAATAGACTCAGATCATGTGCTTTAGATAGCTATTAAATAAATAAATAAATAAATAAATAAATTGACTTTGTTCAGTTGTTGAAGTTGCAAAAAGTGTGGTAAGTTGAATATTTTCCAGAAGAATCGGATATCAGCGAAAGCGAAGAATTGGATGCTCTCTATGGAACCGCGGCTCCGGTGAGGATAAATCACAAGCTTGAGGAAGCTAGAAAACGACACTCTAAATTAAGATGCAAAGGTAAATTTGGTGTATTATGACTGTGGGTTTGATGCTTTTAGAACTCTGAATATTCTTTGAACTTTGATTGTTAATTTTGAAATACGATTTTGAAATCTTCGCAGCAAAATATTTCTAGGCTGGTGCTACCGCGGTGGTAATTGCTCAGTGGATATTGACGAGGTTACGTACGAAGTCAGATCTGTGAATTGCCAGTAAGTTCTCCAACTAAGATTTTCTACACCATCAAAATTCTGCCAGATTTCCTGAAAGATTTTGCAGGATTGAGAAATGCACTGTGCAAAGCCAAATTTGAACAACAAGCCAAAAGTTCATCTCCTCTAGCAAAACAGAAAACTTATATTTCACCTTTTCTAGTCATTCTGATGCCATGATTGCGAAATATCCCTTTTTGGATTATGCAACCTGATACTTTCTGGAGTCATATTTCTATTTTTGTGTTCTCTTAGAACATTCAGTTTACTATTATGAAATATCAGGAAAAGAAAAACAACTCTTGAGGGGATTTCTTCTCAAAAATTCATAATCCTTGAAATTTTTGTGTGTTTTCCGCTTGATAGAATGTGGTACTTTAGTCTCTTCCAGAATTTAATGGAACCATGCTTCTTCTGACGAAAAAAAAGTAAAATAAGCCTGGGATATGGGTTGACTTTCGAAATCAAAAATACTTGGACAAGGCACATATACGACAGAGCATTCTTCAGTTTACTTGTTACTTGAGCCGTAGCAACCTTTTATGAGATAAATTAGATAGCGAATAGAAATATAGACTATGTTTGATATATCAAAAAAGGTATCTATGATTCCATTCAAATATATATATATATAAAATTTGAATAGAAACAAATAGAGAACAGAACATAGAAGCGCACTCTGGTACTCTTTTCTTTTACGAAAAGAATACTAACAAGAAAGTGCTTCAGTAACTACCTAGATCAAAGTCCGTCAGCTGATTCACAGCAGTGGTTTTTTTGAAAATCTTTTTTGTTGCAAATTAGCAAATGAAAAATTGCTCTGATAGCATCTCTGATTTCAGTTGCCCTCACGGTTACTGGGGTAGCCGCTGTGAGTTGCACTTCGTAGCCAGATTGTTCGCTCCAGTCAAAGGTCACGTCGAAGTGGAAAAGTCAGGTGTCTCCGCGTTCGCATTTATCATTCTCATGGTGATCGTCTCCATCGGCCTCATTTTCTATACGTACAGGAAGTTAGCAATCATTCTTAGTTTGTGCCTGCATCTTGAGTTACCACCCTCATGTGTCCGTATAGTCGTCTATCCTGTGTTTTTTTTTATTTTCTTTTGTTTTACTTGAATAAAAAACCCTTTTAATCTTATTTTTGAAACAACTTGTTTAGGATAGCTCGTAGAAATGCTGGTTTCTACACGACATCAAGTTTATCGACCACTCACAGCCTGCGTCGCCCTAACGTCTCCTTCCAAGCAATGCCTACCTCTATCAACACTACCCCCTGTAGCAGTACTGCATACATTGACCGTACTACCTCTCAAAACTATAGTTGCCGATTACCATTCTCTCCTCTGTCGAGGAGGTAAGTTGAAAAGCGATGTTTTATACCATCTTGAAATGCTCGTCTTTAGTCGGATAATTTCTAAGTGGAACCATACATAGAGAAAGCGATACGCTTTCCTAAGAAATCTACGCACTGTTTGATCTTTTCCGGGTCTCAAGTTACCGTATGAAAGACTAGTTTCAACGACATACGGCATGAAACGAATAACATCTCTACTTTTATCGCTTTACGATGATAATTCAAGAGGGTATTGCGCCACAGCAATATGTCCGCTCAATGAACTTCAAAAGTCTGAGAATTATTAGGTTGAAGTGGGAAAGCTGCTGTACCATTTCGAGGAACTGTAACAGAATTGTCTCAGTACCTTCTCTGTTGAGTTTTTGGATAGAGCTATTCATGTGCTTTCTAAGAGTTCCTAACTCTCCAGTTACCTATGATTACAGAAAAGTGAAGAAGGAGAACATCTGAGGTTCAGCAATTTCAAGTAAGGCCGTTAAAAATGTAAAAGCTATGCAAAAAGATCAGAACAGTCCTCAGCATACAGATTGAAGGAGGAGATTATCCGAATTTCGGAAATTTTGTGCAGGTCAATCAGAAATCTGAAATTAGAAAATTCACAACAGTCATTAGCATAATTTTTATGTCAAGCACTTTCACCTGAGCAAAGCCTGTGCAAAGAGCTTTTCTCTGAAAAGTTATGATTTCGAGACAGGACAAAACGAACAAAAGTAGATTTTGACATTCTCCTCAAAATTTATAACTTTCTATGGACAAGCTCCTTAAGTTTCTTTGTTCGTTTTTGAGAATTCTGAAACAAAAGCGCGTTTGCTGTCGTCAACTAGCTCGCCCTACTATAATCTTGGAAGTGCATCAGTCAGTTTCCGGGAAAGACGATGAGACAGGGTTGAACAAACTAGACAGTCACGTTTTCAAAATTTTTTTCTTTATCTGTTTGTAATTTCTGCATGCATTATTTTTTTTAATCATCCCTTTCAGTTACACTCAGCTGGCAAACCAACGTCGTAGTGCTTGCGACACTAGCCGCTCACTGAACTTAGCACTTAGTAGGCTTTCACTTAGTTCTACTAAACTCATGCAAAATCTCGAAGTTCCGACGTTGAAATCGGTAACAAGAACGGTATGTTCTGAACTCCTTGTCTATTACTGGTTTTGCAATTGATAATATTGCTTTCAGAGTAGTTATCCGATGAACAAATCCAGCTCATTATCGCGAACGACAACGCATGATGAGGTAGGTGATAAGGTCTAATTACGGTCAAAATTTTCTGCAGACATCTATGAAATTTGTTCATTAAACGCGTTTTATGCTATTTTTGTACTCAAATGAAAAGCACGAGCTTTTTTTTTAAAGTTTATTAGTATATCCAAGAACATTCTCAGACAAATCACCGGAACTTCCGCGGGACAAGCCAAATTTGCAAGAGTTCCGCAGGATTTTGTTTACTATTGCAAAAATGAAAACGCTGAAACTCGGAACTTGCGCGGGATTTTCATGCCAAACTGGTTGAAAACCGGAACTTCCGCAGGTCCTTCTTCAAAATCCTGTGGAAATTCCGAAAAATGCCAGAGGTTCCGCAGCACTTTGGCCTGCCAGAACTTCCGCAGGACTTTGAATGTGTTGTCTCGTGATGTTGCCTCGAAAACAACTAGAGTGCAATATCGAAAATGTCAGCCGTAGCGTAGAGGATAGTAGGTGGGTCTCACAGTCAAAAGAGAGAGGTTCAAATCTCACTTCGGTGTTCTCTTTTGCTGTTGGTTGGCATTCTTCAGAACTTCCGCAGCACCTCATTTCGGAACTTCCGCAGCACGTCTGCGGAAGTTCCGATCATGTCTGAGTTAGTCCGCAGCTTTGCACGAAATACCGTTTTTTTTTTGCAGAAAATTAGAATTGATGCTAAGTTCATAAACTTCTTTTGTGAACTTCCAATCTGAGTTTGTTATTTTTAGAATGTGCCTGTAGCAAAGTGTTCATCTCCTCCTAGCCGCATCAGTGATGATGGACGATGTTCACAATCACCCTAAACCAGGATCAGTATATGATTTTGTCATTGTTCAAGCTGTACTCAAGTAGTCATCTGTTTTTTAAAAGTATTTTTTATCTCCATATATACTTTGGATTAATCAATTTATTACTGTACATTGACGGCTTAGCCTAACATCTACCACAGACTGATTTTAGAACCTTGCTCTAATTGCTGTGCGCATAAGCAAACTGTCCCCTTTCCACTCGTATCGTCTATCTCCTTGCTCTCTCTTACTATATGGTTTTCTTTTGAACATGCTTGTGACGGTACTACGTCTGAGAGCCTTGGCAAATTTTGTTTTGAAGAAGCCATATGTGAAAAATTGCTCTTTTTCAAGTCTGTGATGCATCATTATTCTGAATCAAGCGGGTTCCTGTTCTGTGAATATATGTAATGAAAATTAATAGCAATGTCTTTGAGATAAACACTTTCCATCCTTACAACAGGAGAAAAGCTCCTCATCTTCGAAGAATCATATGGTGGACTGCAATATTACCAAGAGAATCAGTAAATGCGAGCCGATGTCCAGCCCCGATATGCCTTCCCTTTGCGATTTTCTATGTGAGGAACAATGTAAAATAATCTGGGCGTAGTAATGGCTCTGGGAAGTGTCTTCTGGAGGGGGGGGGGACAAAAAATTGTTTCGAGTAAAGGTTTGGCATAAGCTACGCCCTCCAAAAATTATTTGAGATGTCACCAAATTTTCGGTGGGCCAGTAACCTTCACAAATTGATTTTTAACAATGTAACAGGTTATAAATTCAAGTGTCTGGGTGCACCAGGACCATCATTCCCGCGCTGGACTCTGCATATCTTCGCGAACATGCTTTCTACACTTCCAATCGATTGCTCCGTCTTTCCTACGTTCGTCCTGGGAAAGTGCTCAGAGAGCATGTTCCGTGGAAGAGACGCAGAGTCCGGCGCGGAAGTGGAGATGCTGACCAGACAGTTCAATTGATAAGCTCTGTAGTATCGATTCAAAAAATCCAAAATTATTCCACTTATTTGAGACAAACAAGACCCTAGTGCAATGTTATAACTAAAAACAAGTCCTTTGTGCAATTTTATAACTCATGTAGGAACCTTTGCAGTTCTTTGAAAATTCGTGACCCATCCTCGAGGACGAGCGAGGGCACTGGGCGGTACTTTTCGAGTTCCACGTACTAGCAATTCGTATCTGAAATGAAAGCCATACAATTATAATAGAAAAATGAGAGCCGAAAATCTGGGCGAACGCTGCCTTCGAACGTAATGTGGCAGCTTTGGTTTACCTGAAATGTTCGGTTCGATCTGCACAAAAGCAGGGCTCCTACAAAATTTGGCTCTCCGGTTTTTTACCTCTTCAGGCCTTCTCGCCAGGCAAAAATGAGCTTTTTTCGAAGCTCTCCGGTCCGCGTTCGCTCCAAATTACGTGTAAAAAGTGGGCGGAGTCTGGAAGCAGACGGGGTGCGGAAGACTTCCGAAGTGTATTTTGGGCTTTCCAGAAGCGCTTTTTTGCTCCTGACTTTACTGTTAGATTAGCTGGGGGCTTTACCATTGCAACACTGGAAAATCTTGGTATCCATCATTTTAAAGGGACGCTGCCTTCAACTAGGAGTCTCCGCTTAGTTCGCGCTCAGCTCTGGAAACAGAACCTGCAGAGAATCGGATTACCTTTTGAATGCCTTTCTGATGTTATTTTGTTGGCACTTTGACTCCTGACAACCCTAATACTCATCATCCCAACTGCACCTCCGTATTGGTATCAAAACGCGTACGATCAGCGTGGATGAGCTCGGTACATTACTGCAAATATTGTAGTCCTATGGGATTTATGCTATTAGTGTAGTTGCCGGTGAGTGCAAAATCTACTGTGGTACAATACAAGGCTCAGCAGAGGTTTCTAACGCTGGTTTCATCATCCTAACTGCACCTCTTTATTGGAATCAAAATGCATGCATCAGTGTGGGAGCTCTGTACATCCTGCTTTTGGGTCAAAAGCAAAAAAGAAATCGTAAAGTTTCCAGCTGGCTCCTAGATCTGACAAAGCATTAGCAAGCACTGCTCTGACTTTTACTGTTAGTAAGCCCGAATTGATGCTCTAGTCAATACACCAGTAAGAGGTTGCCTAAAGGCAGTGGCTCCGCAAATCTTAACCCTGTCAAATTCTCGCTTACCTTGGTTTATCCCAATGCTGATCTCGAAAATCCACTTTAGAGAGCTTGAAAATGGCGAAAACAAGCGCTTTCCAATGCCCTTCGCTTTGAAATTAGACGAATGGAGAAGACCGAAAACGCTGAATCGTTGCCACCCAATGGTTATAACGTTGCGGCACGCAGCCACAATGGTGAGAAGGGAATCGCCAACTCCGAGCGTGTCCGCCGAGGCTAAGGTTAGCTTGCGCTGTAAGTTTGAGAGCAATTTTCCTGGTAGGAAAGGCATGCTGTGCGAACGGATTGCGCTGTTTTCATACTATTGTGATAAGCAACCTACAGCAACCTACCTACAAATTCTGCGTTGTTAATTTTTGCTTCTTAACGAGTTAAAACATGTTTGATGCACAAAAAGATAAGCAATCGGCTTGTTCACAATGAGTAAGCAATTTCGATCCGTAAAATTTGGTGTACAGCTTTGCGATGATGATTGAAGAAAAGTATGAAAAATTTTGGAAATTTTATGATTCAAAAAAGTTGCACGTGTTTTTCTATCTTAGGTTGCTCCCGCGCAAAATGGGAGCAACATGAGGAATCAAAATCATGTTTACCCCCTTCCTCACATAATTTCTCATAATTTTGCATAAGCCGTTTAGTTCAAGCTCTAACTATAGTTGACTGCACGGAATCGACCGAGCTGAAGCCAGCGAGCTGTTTCTTGCGAGCTCATTGGCATTCGCCTTTTATCGTTTGGTCTCTAATTTTTTAGTTCTCTGATTTTCGTGGTTTTCTTACTTTTATCCACTCCTCGTTCGCTGCAGGTTATAAGCCGTACCTCTAACCACAAGAGATTAATCGTGAATCTCTAGAACGTGAAAGGGCATTGTGTACACAGGATTTCCATTGTAGCTGCTTTGAATCATGCCTTACTTCTCAAATTGTCAGCAAACCTCGCCCCACACACTCCTTCAACGTAACGTTTGTGCGCATAGAACGAAAATGAATTGAAAAATTTACAGAGGTTGACCACCCGCAAGGTATGGACTGCGTGATCACGAGAATCTTTGCTTCACTTAGTTTCCGCTTTTCAGTGGAAGAAAAATGCTGCCAAAGTTTTTTCGACTTCGAGCACTGATAAGTGGTTGATTCAAGGGAGATATTGACAGTCACGAGATGATATACCTATTATGATCGAAAAGATCACGTGCAACCGGAGAATGCGTACTTGAAGTAAAATCCAAGTAGCTGCTTTTAATCCTTTTTCAGCCCACGCATTGAGTTGATGCGTGGCGTCGGAGTTTTGGCTGCCCATACGCCAATCAATGTAGGTCAAGCCCGTTGTCAATGAAAGACAAGTCGCAGCACGCTCACATCTCTTTAGTGTTGTTTGCGCTTTGCCACCTTGTGGTGGCTTTCTTATAACTGTTCGTGTTGTCTGAGCCGTCGAATATGACAACTTTATTAGGTTCTAATTGCTATTGTTTTGTCTAATGATTCTGGCATCCGAAAGTTCACTTATCACGTGAGCGCTAAACGGCTTAGATATAGGCAATTTTGATGTAGTTTTTTTTCAACTTTCCCCCCATTGATACGGCTACCTCAATGAAACGGGTACCTTGAGCTTGGGTATCCTTCGGTCCTGTAAAGTCCAATACGTACAGCTTTGCTATGGATAGCTTTATCCATAACTGACTTCCTGATGTTCCAAAATAACCGTGAAGATCGCATGTGATCAACTGTTCTGAGCAATCATTGCTGTTCCATCTTTGCTCCAAAAAACTTTGCTCCGTTGGGTCATTGCTAGATCTCCCACTCTGCTTTTTGAGATTCTTTGCACAGACATCATTCCATTTTGCTCTCGCAATTGAAGAAGCTCTTTCGATGGACATAGCAGATCGTGAATTTGTTCGCTGTTACCCAGCGTGAAAACGAGCAGTGGAAGTTTTATACTTGCGTCGCAATCACGAATTCGTCGAAAAGTGAGTCTAAGGATCGTCGAATTACACCTCTCCAGAATCGTCCTTGGTCATCTCGATCACCACTGTGTACGCTTCAACTCTCCCCGTTTGCTTATATGCAAAATCAGTACTCATATCATGTGACTGAAAGCGTTCAAGAGCTGCTCTAAAAGGGATGAACTGTTACGTTGCAAAACACCTAATGGACGATTCGTCGTAGTCATGCACAACAATGATCTGACCCGGAACTAGCCGAAATGGGTATTGACACCAGTAAAAGTAATTCAGCGGAGCTGAGAACGCAACCAGCATCGTTGAACGCAAGATCTAGGCGAAAGAACTTGCTGAAGAACTTAGAAGAGGAGCAATTCCATCTATGTTAAGCACACCCGCTCGGCAGAAAAATGGAAGTCAGCAATTCACTACAGGGCAGGCGTCTTTTTTCGAACAAAATGACGCCTTTCGGTTTCAACACGAGCAGTTTAATTAAGTTCGAGTAGGTCGTTATTTCCATGATACTATTACTTATCGAGATAGTGAACGAAACCTAAGCGACAGAGAATGATTTTCGGCCAACGCTACTTTTGGGGCAAATGGCGTCGAATATGTGACCTGCGTACAACCAAAAATTGCTTGACGCCAGGGTTTCGGTGACACAGTCAGACGATGGCTGGAGAAGTAATATTGTTTTTTCATCGCTGGAGGTTGTCATTCGGCTGATATCATACTTGCTGACAGACAAAGAGAGTTTGGAATAAAGTAATGGCGAATATTACTGTTATGGCACAGATCAAGCATACAAGGACGAAGGGATATAATCGAAGAGAGAACGGAGTTACTGAACAAAACACTTGCCCAAAACTTGTTTCGGATTGGTCTCATCTAAAGTTTTTGATATAGCACAGCTTCAATTACACGAACAGGGGAAAATAGTTTTCATCAAAAATGCAACTTGACAAGCGTAGTCTCAATACGTATCTGGTGACAGAGTGGATGCACAGAGAAACGATGGAGAATAGCTGGATAAAAGGGTATCATTGGGCAAGGTACGCAGAGTTAAATCAGATCTTAAAAGCGGGTCGCTGTTCAGCCTACCAAGAGACAGGAGCTTTGAATGTACAGACAACTGTTCGAAAGTGCGCAAGCTTGGACGTATAGAGGGAAATAACTTCCTGGGACAGTCCCAAATAAACGTAATAAAGGTAGTGACCATGAAGGTAAATTACCTGCTTTTCGGGTAAATTTACTATCTTTTTTCATGCCCCGCACCTAGCAGCGTTCACCGAATATGACATAAAAGCGTAGTTTAGGGTCATTTGGTAATACCTAACGCGAATCATTTTCCAGATTCAAAGAAGCTATAATCGTTTTGGCTTGCCTGCGCTTTTGACCCAAATTCATCTTGGGACTCTAAAAAATACACATGACATTTACGTAGACTAAACGGATTCCTTTGCGATACTGGCACAACTGCGAAGAATGCGAAGGGGAGACATTTAAAGAGGCTTTATATAGTGACCGCCCATCGCAGAGATATTACGTATAAACTTTGAAGCCCTGGCTCGAGTATCCAGCTGACAAAGTGCCTCAGAAAATGAGGACAACTGCTGAAAGGTATCTGGAGAAAAGCGGCAGAATAGCCACGGCATGGTCGTCAAATGGCGCCAATTATATCTGAGTATACAATGCAATGTTATAAGGGAAGACAACTCTTTTCGTATGCCAGTAACATGGGGAGGAAAGAATTTTGAGATGACAGAAAGACTGAGGCAGCAGCATCAGGTAAAGGTGCGCAATTTTACAACAGACAAGTTTGGAACTGCCAGACAGATACGTTTGCGTCTGCATCAGAAGAAGAGCGGTAGAAGCTCAATTAGCTCAGAGTAAAATTTACAGGACAAGAGTTCGGACATTAAAAACGACGTCTCCAAGCGGGGAGGGCGTGTCATTTGTGGCTGCCTAAACGCCATCAGTCAGATCAAGCGCCTTATCGAAGAAAGGCGAGCCGCAACTATGGCTAGATCTCAGTTAGTGTTTTTGGGCCTTCTTATTTATGGTGACTTGTTGATATTGTTTTTCATTTTCTGTGATTTTGGTTGTGATGTCAAGGAGGCCATCTTCATTGCGTTCTTGGTAAATGTTCGTTTATCCACTGCACTTTTGGCTTTTAAGGTAATATCCCTCGAAACAATGCCTTAATGGAGTGACATAGCACCACAATTCTAGAAGAGAACTAGGATTTTTTTACATCAATACTCAATTACATATTTCTTCTCTGAAGACTATTGGATTATTCAGTGAGGAAGTCAGTGCTTTCTACTTCTCCCAAGAAAGTTATTTTGCTACAGAAGTTTACATGAATCTTCCTAGCCACAATATAATCCTTAGTTTATGACTAGATTATAGCAAACAAATTTGCCTGCCTTTCCTTATATGGGAGCATTACCATGCCAAAGTAGACATCTTGAAGATTACTCTGTAATTCTCCAATTTTCGCTTCTCTCGCTTATTCAAACACATTGATTTGGAAAAAAAGACATTTTGAATTAGAAAGTTTGCAAATCGGACAAAACTTTCTTAACAGATGAATTAATACCATCAATTGCAATACGGTGTTTCGCAAGTTCTCAAATCGTATAAAGTGTGAAGTTAATACATATTTTCCGCAGACCTGATTCAGTTTTTCTCAAGGAACCGATATTTCAGTCATATTTCCTCTATAATCAATTTAGATGTGATGCAAGTATCAGCCATGATTATTACATAAGAAAGGATAGGTATTTCAGGCTCCAGTCGTTGTTTTTTCTGTAGAGCTTCAGCTCAAACTTTTTTCGCATTTTGATCAAAAATGGGATAAACATCTATGCTTGTAATTCACGAGCATATACTAGGTCATTCCAAAAGTAATTTCGCTTTTTTCAGAGGTGCTCTCCATCTGACGGAACGAAGTTTTCTGAGAGATTCCGGTAGCATCCGATGCAGAATTTCATCCTCTTTCTAATGGTCATAAACATGTTGCAGCACAGTTGATGAGCTCCTTCTGGGACCCAAGCTTTTTGCAATGGTCAAGTTTATATTTTTCAAAATTTTTTTATCAAATCTCCGATGGAGCCCAAGCAGCATGTAAGTAGCGCAAACCCCACAAAATACAAAACAGGTTATTCTCCTTTTCATAATCGTCGTATTTTTTCAACAGAATTTTAACTGATGCTGCCAATTTCCATACTTGGTCAACTCAAACTTCGTAGAACCTCAAAAGGAGAGCAGCTCGGGTGCCGTTTAATGCAGCTTTTTTCCTCTTTCTAATAGATGTTTTCTAATTCCGATTCGTTAACTCTTCGGGGATACATTATAACTCATGTTTTTGAAAGCGCCTAAGGCTGTACTCGGAAAACTCCAAATTCAGTATTTAAAATCCGTAAACTATCATTTGCTTTGTAAAATCAATATTAGGTCGTGTACGATCTAGGAAGTTTCAAATTCCGAGTAATTACTGATGTTTGATGCGATTGTGGCTGACGTAGGCCTGCCAAAATCCGATGGTTTTGGTAAAAAATCTTTCAAAAATTTTACGGCGAGCTATGAAAAGGAGAAAAAAAGTTGTGCTGTATCCTATAATGTTTGCTCTATCTAAGCGTTACTTGAACTCCTTCTGAGGGTTGATTTGAAAAATTTGAAAAATTGTGAAAATTGACCATCTCAAAAAGCAAGGGTCGCAGGTTTTGGTTATTTTCCGAAAGCTCAGTGTGATGCAACGGTTCCATTACTGTTAGAAAGGGGATCATATGCTGCATCGAATGCTACCAAAACCTCTTAGAAATGTTTGTTTCATCAAATATGGCGCCCGCTTGAAAAAAGCGAAATTACTTTCGGAATGACCTAATATTAACTTATCAAGATCCATATCCAACCAGCCGATGAACGCGATATACTTTCTATATGACTGTTGATCGTTTTTGCAATGAAATAATAAAGTACAAAGAAAAACGCAACTTTTATTTCAGCTTTTTCTTCTTATTTGGTATGCTTGATGTACTTCACACAATGTTATTATGGCACTTTTATTCCTGTTTTTTCTCCTTCTCTGCAATAAACTTCTTTCCTCCTCCCTTCACGTAAGATTGGAAATAAAAGTTTCCAAACAAGACCACGTACGACATCTCCATGATAAGGCAAAACCTAAAAAGTGTTTCATCAGCGGTAACATCAACTGTTCAAATATCTACGGCTGCCAATAGCCGACAGATAATAATGAAGGATTAGAAAAAGGGTGCTATAGAAGAACTTACGAAAATGGTTGAACGGTAAAATATTACGTATACTCATCTCGTATACTCATCTTTTTTTTTCGAAGCATGATTTACTCTATGCTTCAAAAAAAAAGAAAGAATGAAGGGGAGTTTCGAAGTTTCTGAATGAATGGTGAACTGACCAGAAAACTTTTGGTGTGCTATCGACTTTTACACCCTGACTTGATAGATAGCCGACATGGAACAGAATGAAATGCGTGATGATGAATTGCAAAATCTGCATGGTTGTGATGTTTCGTGCGACCCAGGCTGGTACTCTTACACCATATGATCGCAACATGTAATAACTAAAATAAAAATCTCACAGGGCACATCTTAATCGGATGTTCAATGAGTAAAGCCCACTTACCCATACATAATGGCGTGAACGGTAAAGTTCATCCATGCTATCCAGCTATTATAAGCAGTGTCCACCGAGTATGACATAAAAGCGTAGTTTAAGGTCAACACATGGTGATACCTAAAGGGCGATTTACTTGCTCGTCAACTTTAAAACCATTTATCTCACCAGTGCAAGAAAATCAGCGGCTTTTTGCGTAATACGATCATAATCGTATCACCCAGCTCAGCTACTTTGCTCATGACGAACAGGAATAAGAAGTACCCACTGACACCCGTGAAGAAATCTCCCATTTGTGTATAGGAAGCTGGAATCAAAAGTCTCAATCTAGAAAAACTCAATCAAGAGAACTGAAGTGAGATCAACTTACACACTACTCCCCTGTGGTATATCTCATGGAATAGGCCATAGCCAGTCGCTACGCTACCAAGCGTACTAAATATTGCTAGCCAAGCATTCCAAAACTCCAGTGGACCTTTAAGCTGAAAGATGAGATTACTTTGGGATCGATTTAGACTGCGTATTGCTAGAAGGTATTGAACAAATTCAGCCATCCCGCGACTTGGCAGCGTTCCAACTGTTTATAACTGGTCATTTCGTGCATGGAAAATAGGAGTTTTTTTTGCATCAGTTTACAGAACTCATGAGCAGGTCAGTGAAGACATTGGAAAATCGCTAATCGCCGCGTCGCAGCCGGAACCACGCTGGTTATGATTAAAACCTTAGAACAAACTTGGAAAGAGTGGGCAATTCGAAGCTGGTTGCGTTTTTGGAACAAAAAAAATTTCAACGTTGGAAACCAACTACAAAGTTATCGATCGTAATCAGCTAGAAACTAGTTTTCATTGCAAAGAAGTTTTGTCGCTGTGAAATCTTATCAGAGACTGCACTATCATTTTAGTTAGAGTGTGATATGCTTACCTGGAATGGCTTGAAGTTTTTCATAATTGCCTTGATACTGAATATGGTCACCACATAAACCATTGAAATGACAAAGGCAGTCATCTCAAAGCTTTTCGTGTAACGCTTAGCATCCTCGTAATTGAAGGGAGTTGAAGTTGCGACCTCAAGGAAGGAGGACATGCCTGAAGAATGAAATTTGCGCACAATAATCGGAGCAGATCCAATTGAACCGGATGGTACAAGTGAGTAAGTTGCGAATTCACGTTAAGAACGGTAAAAACCGATGATAAGACTGCTGGAGCAGTTTATATGTGTGATGTTATCAGTTCGTTTTGGGTGGTGCGATGGACAGATGTTCCGCGCGTTAGGAACTTGCCTACGCTGCGCTGATAGTTGACTGGGGAAGTCCCTAGATAGTTTGAAGGACAACGACTAACTGTTAGGTCGTCGCGAAAATTTTATCGCTATTTGTTTGGTTACCGAAGATAGAGCAATGACCGACGAATAGATCAGGTATTATTTGATTCAGCGTTTTTTTCCCTTTTCAATACCCATAAGGTTGATAAGAAACATTGCCTTCGAACAAAGATTTTACTTCGATGCGAGCACCAAATAAGGCAAGCAGCATATTATTGAATAGAGGAAAACAAGCTTCACAAAATTCTACTAATCGCGAGCGAACCAATAAGTCCTATCAAATTAAAGGCGAAAATTCGAAGACATTAGATTTTGACAGAGCTCAGATCTCCAACTTCCGTTTACGCTATGACACTCACAAATACTCCATTATATAGTAGACAGCAATACTCTTACATAAATGCGAAGTTTGTGTAAATTCAAGCTTAATTAGCAGGAAGAATGAGGTAATCGAAAGATGGTAAACTCCGCCCCTATTGACCACAAACACCTCCCACCTGCACAAGTATGAGCCACCTACATGTGAGAGTACAACTACAAATTTTAGCGTTTGCAGATGCATTCCCACCTGCGAAGCAGCAATTTCAGTCTGAAAATGTCCGAAAACTTTCTTACCAACCTAATACATTAATTTTCCAACCTGAGCGATCTTTGCGGTGTTGTCTTTAAGATTCTTCGCCCAATACTATATTGAGGCTCGAAACTCGTAATTTTCAAATTTTTCATCATATAATGAGCATTCTAGAAGATCGCAAGTGGCTGTTTGGTAAAATAAATCTTCTGCTACAATGTTAGTTTAGATTACCCAGATCAGGATTTTGAAGTTTTCGATACCTATTTATTTGGAAAAATCTCAGTTTTTTTGTGTGCATGTGGCATGGCGACGTACTCGTTTTCGAAGCAAGTCGGTTATTCTGCCCCAATGAGACTATGGCGCGTAAGCCTAATTCGCTTTCAAAGCGAAAGTCTAGATTATAAGTTTGAAGAATAAACGAAGTTTTGAGCGAATAGAGATGACGGACTATGATTGGCAGAAACCGCAAAATTTTCATTGCCATAACCATTACAAAGCAAAGAATACCCGATTGCTTTTGCTTTTGATCATTTATTCGCGGTTCTACAAAAAAAAACGAAGTTTTCAAAACAATGCCATACTTTGATCGACCAACATCAATAAGATATACTACATTTTTTTGGCACGCCTTTGATAACTGAGTGCATTCGCAGAGATAGCGATATCATGAGTTGGTCACAAGCAGTTGGCAGAAAACCAGAGATAATTTTTTGCAATGTCCTTGTTTGAACTTATCATAAATTTTGTGGGAACTCTGGTGTGACAGAAAAATCTGTCGAATGGGTAAAATCTAACACTGTTAGCAATTCAAATTTTCTTTCAAAGAACTCATAAGGATGAGTACAAAAGTAAATCACCTAGTGTTTAGCCTGCCTAGACAGTGTGAACATCATCTTCAAAGCATTCTTCAAATTACCGTTCAGCCCATATAATAAATGTAAAAGCAATCCTGTCTAAGGAAGCATTGAATATTTAGCCTGATAGATAATAGTAAGTACTAGCTGGTGGCCCCGGTCTTACCCGAGACTTCAAGGACTCCAAGTTAGTTAAGCCAACAGAACTTGTAAACTTACGCCTCTAGATTTCTTCTAACATGCGCATAAAGCGCTTCCGAACTAATTGCCGCACCCTACCGACTTTAAGACTGAAATGGACTTTACCGCCCCTGCTTACATGCTTATATGTAAAAATGATCGGTAGCCATGGTGATCCTTCATGTTCTTAGATTTGAGTAAACAAATCAATAAATCGATAGAATGAAACGGCGAATCGCCGCGGAAAGTAGCTCTAAACAGCCGCCGGGGTCGAAAACATACGTATGCGAAGTTTCAGCCGGATCGGTTCAGTGGCGCGCGTTTCTATAACGAACGAACAACTAAACGAACATCCTTACAGACATTGAGTTTTATATATATATATATAGATTGATAAGATCGGTTCTTTATGCCTGTTTCGCCTCTACCCCTATACAGGTTACTATAGAGTGAACCACTCCCGAGGCTCGTCAGTAGGGAAGAGTGGTGTACTGAGAAGGATAGGTCTAGGGGGGGGGGTATTTATACATGAGGGGTAGAGCAAATAGATCAAAAATTCAGCTATATTGCAATTTTGTGAGCATTTTAATAACAAAAGTTTTAGTGTTTTTGAACGATTGTAGATGCAAATACTTATATGATGTGCATTTATTTTTACTCAAGCATTAACTTTATTATATAAATACGAAACTTCATAACAATTTGAAAGCGGCAATTCAGCCTCAAATTTTTACTCTCACATATATGATATTCAGAATTTTTCGTTTAGATGACGATTTAGTCCTATATGGATAGTCTTCTAGATAAATTACTTTTCTGATTTTTGAAGCTTCGTTTCCAGCATGTAGTGAGCCACAGATGAATAATTTGGTACTGGATATATATACAAGGGCAAACCACATAAAATGATCTGTTTTTTTTCTAGTCAAAAACGGGAGAATTTTTTGACGCTTGAGCGCAAAAGTCATTGGGCAACCCAGATTCCTTGGGTTTGACCATATGACCATGTGAATGGTCGCGAATATCAAGAGCGTATCTCAGCACTTCTAAACTACCTCAAGTGACCTCCTGAAGCTGAAACTAACGAAGAGAAAAGAAAAGATGCAAGGAATTGAAAATGACCCCTCATGTCTTTGTAAAATCTTATAATGAAAAATGAAAGATATTGATAATAAGATAAGATATAGTAAAGGCGCTTCAACAAACTTTCACAGCTTGCGGAAAAATTAGATTTCCTGCACTAATGCACAACCTCAATATTAATCAGCTCTACAGATTTATACAAGCATTAAAAGGATAGAACTGAAAGTAACCTAAGCTTTTGTGGACTTTAGAGCTGGGAGAGAAAGACAAAGTGATACGCGGACGAAGCATATGTGGGTCCACCTTGACCCTATTCTGCACTTGGGTAGTTGTTTGTTTTAGCCGTTTGGATAGGTCGTCGACACGTTACTGGTGAGAACATCAATGTCGTGAACCTTCTGTTTAAAAGTTTGAAACGTTGACGACATCCTCCTTCCCAGCTTTGTCTTGCAGCGGGACTCTCGTACATAAAAACTTAGAGCAGGTTAAGCCTTAGCAAGACTCTAGCTTTGGTTGGATCAAGTACCTCCCGCTTATAAATTACCCTCTAATTCAACTGGATTGGCGGCTGGAAGGCGGGCTTCGTGACCTAATCGAGGCTAGAATGATCATAGAACACGTCCGCGAGGAAGACGCAGACTGCGTCGCGGGTGCGAGCGATCGCCTTCCATCCGCCACTCTCTTAAACCAAAGGGTACAAGCGCTATTCGTCATCATTGGGTTTGAATTCACCAACTCAGAAGCCATTTATATAGTACGGAAAACTTACGAATGCTCTTTACTTTCTTTATTTTCGAGTTGTTTTTGGTGCGAGAGAACTTTTGATTTGTTTTTTTTCAAGGAATGCTCAATACATGGCCCGAAACCGATAACGACGACGAGTTTTGCATTCCAGCACTCGGATATTCGGAAAGCTTTTCTCTAGATCTTCACATAACAATAACAATGATTAATCGCAGTTTCAATGCTAGGGGGCTAACTGTTCTTTAACCTCCTCCTCTCCACACGCACCAAAATCAGAGCCAAAAGTGAACTTCTCAGCAAAGTAACGTGCTCTAAAATTTCTAATCTACGGGGTATCGATTTATCAAAGCTTCCTATTTCGAAACAAGAGACCACTTTTTTGTATATCGCAAATGAAGTGATCTCAGAAATTTTTTGTCCTCTGTTATTGAAACCTCGGCATAATTCAGATCGTATCAGTATTATGCAACTGTACAACCGCTGGTCTACAGAAATGTTTTTTTTTCATGAACTGTGCAAGATTTGACTGATAGTGAATAGCTGGTAATTAGGTCAACTCATAACTTTTCGAGAAGTGAAATCTACTCATAAAAATGAAAATTCGAAAAAATGAGAGTCGATCAAGGTAATTGCCGGAACTTCAGCTGTTTCCTCGTGACCAGCCTTGTGATATCAAGAGTCAACAATGATGATGTTCGGTGCTTTGTTTGTTGCTTGTGCAGTGTCAAGCATTATCGCTGTTCCGACAAAATTGATGGGCTAGTGAAATCCTAGGGGGGGGGGGAAGAAAACTCTTACAATACACAATGAGAAGCGTTTGAATTGGGTTAGATTGGGTTAGATTAGAGTTGGGTTGGATTAGGGTGGGTTAGAGAGGGTTGGGTTAGAGGGTTAGATTGGGTTAGATTTGCTAATTTTTTTTGTAAGAGTAGATAAGTATAGACTGGAAATGAAATGTGAGTGATCGAATTGCCAACTTTTTCCCGGATTTTCTGGTTATCATGCTCAAAATCAATTTCCCAAAATCATTTTTCTTGCCATTCCAGTCCTTATCCCTAAGCGTTGTTTGTGCTACAGCACAAAAACTCGTGAAGCGCTTAAAATCAGGCTCGTATGTTTGTCGTTTGGCTGTTTATTTGTAAGACTTGAGAGGTGTTTTCTTCCACGAATGTGCAGTAAATTTCGCAGATCAGGCTGATTTTGAGTGTTTGAATAAGAGCGCCTTCGGAGCGTTCGCCACCTCCACTCTGCTTTACACTCAAAATGCGATCGATTGTCATGGCTTTCTCTACCTCAATCCGAGATCTGTTCAGATTTCATTTGGGTGTCTCTCAGGTTTCCCTTGCTGGACTGCGGTCATCTGATCTATTTTTACTTAGTGGAATTATTTTATTCATCTCTATTCATGAATTTGTTATGTGGACATAAAAGCAAAGAAAATAACATCAAGTGCATACTACAGTTTTTTCGAGTCCTCAATTCATTAGAGATCAGGATTTTTCTTCTTTTGATTTTGATTTTGATTTTCATTTTCATTTATACGCTTGAGGCGTTACAAATCAAAAATATCGAAGTGTTAGTCATATAAGAAACAGTAACAAAAAATCATCACGTCACCACAAGCCCAGTCTAGACGACTTAAAGAAGAAAAAAAATAGAGTAGCAAGTTGTAAAAAGCTTGCGTAAGATGTTTTAGGGTTGAATATAAAATTTTTGAGCAATGCTGACAAAATCGCATTTTCTTTGAATATCCAAATATAACGTATTTCTGATACATAATTAGAAAAACGAAATTAAATCTTTCTCATCTTCACCTGCAATTTGTACCTCTATCACTATGCAAAGCATTAGCCAGGGGGAGGGGGGGGGGGGGGAAGGTGACAGGTTAGCTAATAATCAATTTCGATCGCTTTTGCGACTCCTACAAATGTTGCAGACAAATTTGTCCTGACTTCTATATTCCTGAAAAAAGCGTTCAAATGTAAACCGAGATGAAATGTTTCAGTGCAATTTGACCCTCCGTGAAAAAAAGGCGAGAAAAAATGAGATGCACTTGTGCCAAATGTGCAAAAGTCTCCTTTTTCAATCAAAAGTTTCAAAATGAAGGATCACAATTTTTGGTGACATTCGCATGATAGAAAAAACATATGTATCACCCATTTACTCTCTACATCCATTACAGATGAAAACGAAGAGTAGAAAATTAAAGAACTGAGCTTTTAGAAATTTTACCATATTGGGCATAACTGTCCTTTACTGATAGTAGAAATTCTGCATATATGTGATGATAGAAGTGATAGAGGCTTTGAATTACTTCACCTCAAAAAGTCATAAAATCAAAAAAGCAAGAAAAGTTCTAGAAAAATCTTTAGTCAAAAAATAAATTATTTGCTAGCCAACCTAATATAATACTGAAGTAAAATCACTGCGTTTGCGTTACCGCAAGCTTTGCGTAGCGAAAACTCAATAATTGAGTTACAGCTATCCAATCCATATTTGCAAAAATTAAGTGCTCAATAGTACTATCTTTAAGTATCTCTAAGGTTGTCTCTAAAACAAATCCTTTTCTAAATAATTCAAATTATTTTTCTTTTTCTAGCAGCTTAGGGTACGATAGAGCAATGCAAGCTTTACAAAATGATCACTGAAAATAGATTTCCTTCCAGAAAAATCTTACGGAGCTCCGGCTCGGTCACTATATAGTAGGTATTGTAAGAACTTATTGCACTTACTTATGGGACACCTAGTAATTATTGCTGTGAGAAGTGTTGTTGTAAAGTACGGTAGCCACCACTCAGCTCATAGAATCTCAATGCTGGATAAAAATTGAGACGAAGACGATAAGGTACTTAAAAGTGCTGTTATTGAGAGATTCTCGAGTGCTTCTTCTCTGAAGTGCAGCTTACATCATAAGTATCAAATGACGAACAAAATTAGCTTTGTAACAAACTTTCACCTCGACCAAGAGGTTACGAAGTCTTCGTGTCGTCAATATCACGTGTGGTCCCACAGCTGTTTCATCGTCGTGGTTCCAAGCGCTTGTCCTCGATTTTTCGAATCTAATCGTTCACTTCAAGCCAATCGTTGCTGTGTCTCCTGCTCTTCTCTATCTACCACTAGCGAACTGTTCATGCCTGAAGGTGTGGCCGTTGACGAGCGCAAAGCAAGCTTGCCGAAATCTCTATCCGATACAGAGGTGTGTTGATATGGTTCGTTAGCATGTTTTCTGCATGTAAAATGGTGCATGAAAAAAATTCACTGATTTTCGAAAAATTTTGTCATACGTAAAGATTTTCTCAAAGAGTCGTCAAAAATAGGCCCTTCAGTCTGAAAAGATTCATAAACTGTAACGACGGGTAGGGTAACGAACTCCTTCAATTTGAGCCCGCCTTTGCTGGCATCTTCTCTTTTGCAATATCATTGCATATCGTTGGAGGATCAGTAGTTCGCTTAGGCGGCTCAAACTAGCGGAGTTCGTTCCCCTACCCTTAGGGGCTGCATACCTACAACGTGTCAGAGAAAATGATAGCACGTTTCGGTTTTGATATGTTAATCTCCATTTCCGATGTATATGTACGAGAGAATCTGAGGTGGTAAAAGCTGTTCAGCTCTTTTCTGTAGAAGCAAAACAGCCCAAACGCTAGATAGGTTTCGCTCACTTTTAGCAGTGAAAAAATATTTTTTCTTCAAATGTGTCCGCCAAGCAAATTCAGCCAGAAAAAATTCAAACGATGGTGTGAGATGATGGAATCCTAGACCACTCATCTCCTTTTTATGCGCATCTAACCTCACAGTAGGATCACAGACTATTATTCTGAATGTCTATTCTCAAAATTGTTGAACTAAGGGAAGGAAGGGTTAATCACTGACGACGACGCCTAATTTTGCATGGCAGCGCTGCAGAACGTCGTGATTTTGCACAACACTTTCGATGTGGAAAAGTTTTGTGGTCGTTTACGAAATGTAAGGTTGTTTTGTGAATAACTATAAGTTTTTTTTTGAGCGACGAAGCCTGCAGGTCCCAAGAATGCAAAAATTGAGTATTAATATGTGAAAAAAATACTAGACCTACGAATAATATGACTTTGCAAGAGATGTGGGCCAATATGACTTTGCAAGCGGTGTGGGCCAATATGACTTTGCAAGCGGTGTGGGCCACCGGTGGTCCACATCGTCGTCAATGGGTTAACGTGGATTAGGATGAACTCATTTTCAGGTAGGTGACATGTAAGGTCTTGATGAAACCTGTTAAACATGCTGATATGTCAATTTTTATCTGACACGTGGCAGAAGGTTGACACTAACATAAGAATAGAATAGATACCCTCTCTCAAAATGGGTCCGAATAACGGAAAAATGCAAAACTTCTATACCTTGCAGATTTCTAATTAGCTTTTGAAATTTTCTTAGGTATCCATTTCTTAAGAAAAATTGATTTTGTTATTCGAAGAATCTTATACTTAACTGTAAGTGATGTCTGTGAACACTGCTTGGTTATTGACATTGTGAGCGAAGCTTTTCCTATGTCTTAACATCCACAAAACATATTCTGTGAATCTTTGCTGAAACTCCCGTAACTTACTGTATTCTTTTCCAAAAACCTATTGAACTGACATGGTAAGCGTTTCGCAAAGAATATACTCTTTCACGGACTTGTGTAGAAAAACTTACTAATTTTTTCGTTTCAAGTTTAACGCTAGACACTATCAAAAAACTCCACGTTATGAATAACGCACAAGTACGCGCATTCTCATTTGCAAAGAGTGCAAGTGCCTCACCCACGGAATTAAACGCGCATTATTTTTTTCAGAAAGCGTAGAAGCTGTCACTCAAGCATTCTTGCTCGAAAAAACAATACTGAGCTAACGCGAAATATTTCCTGCAATGAAAATTCTGAAAGAAATAGAACCGGAAAAGCATTGTAATATCACACTAGCTTGATTGCCAGATGCACTTGCAAGTAGCAATAAAACTTTGCTTTTGCTAATTTTGTAGCACTTTAATTAGACATGAGGAAAGTAAGCCATACCGTAATGACCTTTACTTCGATATTAGTTAACCAGTAATCTAAAGGTGCTAGATATGCAGGAGCCTTCGCTGCGGGACCTCGCGGTTTCCCGCATTTCACCTTGTTTGAATAGGCACAACGACTTTTTATATACAGATTATAAGCACTGAAAATACTCGAAGGTTTAGATAAGTAAATTTCAATGCGTTGGGGGAAATAGACGAAAATGATTCTGGTTCAGGCTAGATCAAAGCTTACTATTTCGTAAACTTTGCAGAGCGAATTCAATTTTAGCAAAAATCATTTAAAAAACTAGCTCAACCTTTCAAATTGCTGCTCGACGAACATACTATTTAGGTAATTTTTTCGTGGACAAGAGCATCTACGGAGTGCTGCGTATGAATACACTAACATATCTAGCCGAAATCGTGTACGGAGCCTTCTTACAATTCTTGAAGGTGCTTATAGATATCCTATTCTTCTAGAAAAATATTTTTTGATGCGCGTTGCTTAGCCATTTTCTCTCTTTCGCAACTAACAGACAAACACTTCTGTTGCTCCCTTTAGTTCTTTTTACCGGTAACCATTAGTTTGAGATTGTCTTTTGCATTGTAATGACAACAAAGACGCGACATATTGCCGCTGTTTCAGAGCAGAATTTCCGGGGAAAATTTTTCTAGTTTGTTTAAAGAGATTTTTCAGTACTGGGCTGCTCAATGTAATCGTCGGAACAGCACAGTGCACTGGAAAAATTTCTAGAATTTTTTAGTTATTTTCTGCTAAATATTTTTGTTGTAGGTCGTGGCACCTCAACTGCAAAAATCGCCTTCTGACCGAGGAATTTTCATTGAAGATATCAGCGCTACTGAGGGAAAAGCCGGTGATCGGTAGGTCAAAAATTTTTACTTGAGGCTCCAGAGCACAACAAAACAATAAAAATTGTTCAGATTATGGCTGATGCTGGCAAATTCGGTCGAAGAGACCCTATCCTTGACATTCAGTCTAGAAGACGAAGGAGTATCTGCGTCTGATGTTGCGCAGAAGCAAACGGTACGGATATTCTTGAATTCCATGAAAAATGGAAAGGTGATTGGTAAAATTTCACAGACTTCGTGTGAAAATAGGGAGTCTCTAGAAGTCTCTAGAAGCCTTTAGGAAATTAGCATTACATAGGATACGGTAGCATCATTATTTCCCCATCAGCTTTTTTTTACAGATGTTCGCATTTACCGTACCACAGCTTCCCTTCACACAAGACACCATCGTTCAGCTTTGTCTAAAAAGTCAAAGCACGCAACTTAATGTGCCATTCACCTATAAAGTCCCGTAAGAAATTATTATTTTTATTTGCGGCATCGATCGAATGGCCAAAAATGATTTTTATTTTCAGAAAAGACACCACAGCCGCCCAACTTGAGAGCCTCGTCGAATTTGCTGCCAATGGAGAGATTTCCTCACTTATCGTACCCTATGCTAATCATATTGGAGATAAAGATGCTGAAGGCAATACGTAAGTTTCCGTAATATTTACAACACTTCAAGTCTTTCCCCCCCCCCCCCCTTTACTCCTCCTCTTTGCGCGAAATCTGTGAATGGATGTGTTTTTGCCCTGGCTAAATGAGTCACTTGACATTTAGCGCAGATGCGGGGAGAAAGGATGGTACCAGATGACATTTTGTCGCAATGAACTTCAATTTGTACACATTAGCGCCAGAAGTCATTTAGCATATTGACGTTTTACACTTTTTCAGGGTCCTTCACATATCCGCAAAGAATTCGCAAAGTTTTGCGCTGAAACTGCTGCTGTCTGGTTTGCCCAAGGAGCAGAAAGACGGTAGGTAAAGCTTCAATACGTTTCTTAGAATATATCTGGAAAATGTAGTTGTTTCATGCTTCTTTTTGTCCACAATGAGAATTGTTTTGTTTATATCAGTAGACGTCATTTTTCGAAAGTGTTTTGACAAAAATTCGATCCTATCAATCGATTGAGCTGGACCACTTTTGAGCTGTCTAGTACGAGCAATTATTCAATACATTTGATTCAAGGCAGCTGTCGATGACATATGCTTTTTGTGAATGTTGTGATTAAGCATCAAACATCTCAGTGAACTAAAGCACATGTACAAAGCCTTTTATTAAAAAAATTGCTGAGGCTAGGCATTGTAGAAACATTTCAAAACTGTTACGAATGCTTTTTCCCATGAATAGCTGTCGAGAAAAGTTATATTTGAATTTGAATTCGTGAAAGAACTCATAGGACACAGCTTATAACTTTTTTCTGTCGCTTTAAATGTTTCAAAAACACTCTTTGTGGTTCTACAATCCGGGATTGGGTGTCTTTCGACTGATATCTGCTCCAAGCAGCGATAGAGCTTATACTTTCAAAGCTAACTCATAAAGTTATTATTATCATGTAATGTTCATAGTACAGCGGCCGTCATCACCACCTGACTATGCGTACTTTTTATCTCAACAACTTACTTGTTACACATTTGCAAGTGCAAGCGGTTGCACTACGGAAAACTGATATGCCTGCGGAAGTTGTTTTGACTGATTGGGGCTCTGTCCAGGTCAAAGAAATCTAGTTTCACCGCTGCAGCAATATGTAAATGCATCAACCGTCTGGCAAGAAAAATTCTGTCTTTCTGAAACTTTGTACTCTGTTCAATTCAAGAACAATTGAATATGAGGTAAAGCACAAATTCTATTTCTGTTAACAGCTCTTCTCGAAAAATGGATGATATGTAAGAGTAATCAGCACTTGCTAAGAAAGGCCTTATCGCTTTTGCCGGGACTTTTTGTGTGTTTATACGTTCGGCATCATGATGTCGAAATAGAGTAACCTTTTCGTAATCTCTTGAGGAAAGCTCCACAAGTTCTTACCAAACACCTTTTCCTACTCCCGGAAAAACAAGCTCCCGCCACCACTTTCGGGACAAGAGCCAGTGAGAAAAATAAATTCGAGGACATCGAGCGCTGAGAGCTTAATCCCGTATACCCAAGTAAGGACAAGGAAAATCCTCTGTTAGCTTTTACAGGGTGTCCCGAAAGTCTTCAAGCCTAATATTTCCTCAGCTGCAACTACGAAGCAACATTGTCGCATGAAATTTAGCAGGAATCTTGTGAAGAACCTACAAAATAATAAGATACACTTAGTTTTCGAAAGAACCTTATTCGGCTTTCACACAAGCCCTCACATTCTTGCGGAACGCATGCACTATGACAGATAGTTCACGTCGAGAATGTTTCACGCCTTCTGAAGTAAGCGTTCCAGGCTACCCAAAATTTAGTGTGGAACTGAGCAAGCCTTGCTTTCCATGACTGATCACAAAGAAAAGTCAAAGTCTCTTGAGCCGGTGATTAAGAGCACGCTGATTTGGGAAGCACATCTTGAGATTCATCAAAAGTGTCAAAATGTAGCAATCAAGTTCTTGAGAACATCAAGAAAACAGTAATTTTGGTGTGCAGGGAATGACTTCGAAATGATGTTTCAATAAAAATGCAGAGCTTACAGCTAGAATTACTCAAACTGAGTTGGTGTTGGAGTTCTCAGCTTCCTCGGATTTTTGTTTCCGAAAACCTTTTCTTCTTATTGAAACTGCACGTTTGATTGTTTGGATCTTAATCCTGCATTAATGAATAGAGACTATCGATTATTTTTGCACTGTAGAGTGTAGCTAGCTCTAAATGTGCAATTCAAGATTCCGCAAGAGCATCAAAGGCAAAAGAGCTATAGATGTCTGAGTAAAGGATACGTTAACATTGGGTCGTCCTCAAAATCGTTGTATTGCTTGCTCCAAAAACAATATCTTGAAAATGTACAGAGCAGACGGTATGATTTTCTTGAGGAATACTAAAAATAGACGAAGTACTCATACGCAAAATTTGACTGAAAAGCGAGGAATACTAACAAAGTTACTACGTTGGGAAATTAGGCTCAAAGACTTTTGGGACACCCTGTAGGGCCTTTAGAGATTAATGTGAGGATCTAATGGGAAGGCTCACAACTTGGGACAGTTTGTTGGTTGATACTTGAGACACTTTATTTAAGAAGGCAATACTGAGTAGATAATATCACAAATAACATAGGCTTATTATTCATCTTCATCATATTTAGTTGTATTTATATATAAAGAATCGCTGTGCCTATTCAAAAAAGGTGGGATTGCGCGAAGCCGTGCGGCTCCCGCAACAAAAGCTCCTGCGATAGCACCTTTAGATTTCGCTAATTCATCACAAAAAATAGAAGTTTAATTTATTGTGGCTCATCGATACTGCTTACTTAAAAGCAGGAGATTCTTCTTCTTAGTTTTGCTTTGATACATAAGCAAAGAAGTTTAGAAGTTGTGAATGCCCGCAACGTCCGTGGGCAAACGGCTCTGCACAATGCAGTTCGAGCTGGTGATCCGGATAGTGTTCATTACTTGCTTAGCCACGGAGCTGCCACGAACATATTAGACAACCACAAAAATTCGGTAAAAATTTTAAAATTGTACTCTTTGAACCAAGTTCATATAACTCTCTTTTAGGTCGTGCACTACCTTGCCGATGCCTATAATGAAGCCATATTCAAAGAAATACTGGAAACTCCAGCATCAAGCGCAAGTGATTTAGACGCACTCAATGAAGAAGGCTTTTCACCGCTTCATCTTGCTGTACGGAGGTGCGTGCTCTTTACGAGCTCTGGAGAGAGGTGCGAAAGTGAAATTCCACTTCTTCTTTTTTTTCATCACTAGCGTAACTAGTTTACTAACACTGACTAGCAGCGAGCTAACTGCATTTCTTTTTTGCAAGAAGCTACCTTGTCGCGAAATTTGAGTTTAGTTACAAATTGAGTTAAGACATATTTTTGCTATAACTCGTACCTGTATATAACTCGGAGTCAGTGTGGTTATGTAACGAAAACGTCAAGGAAATAGTGTGAGCCTGCAAAAAATAAAAGTCAAAATTAAAAGTGAGCTATCGTTTTCGAGCACCCAAAAATGAGCCACATTTTCTAAGTTCCGTAAAATATGTCAGAACTGACACTACTTACCAAGTTATACCCTCTAATTCCTGTCGATACCTAATATTTCGGATAAGACTAAGCGTTCTGTCAAAATTTCTAATTTATAGAAGATGGAAAGCGAGATAATCGACTTATCGCATTTTATGACATCAAGTGTGGACACAAAGCAGCCACGGCGGCAACCAACATGCGCACTGCATTTGGCGAAACCGTACTTCGAAGACACTACAAATGTGGTTCTGCCAATTCAAATGGAGAACTGACCATTGATGAAAAGGCGCGATGCGTATGTCCTCCCTGTACTGAAAGTCTTTGATGAAGACAACGCGTCTAGCTGTGCTGAATTATCAGCGGATCGCCGCAAGGTCTGCGCTTCCTTGCTTCAACGCAATCGAGACGATCCCTTTTTGGATAAAGTTGTTAATAGTGACAAAAAAATGGATTATGTATGGCACGGATGCAAAGCCACAAGAATTTGGCTAAAACGAACATTTCAAGAACTCATTCAATTATTGCGACCATGAGGGAGCCGGTCGACATTTCATCCATGCCGCAGGTGGCAAAATAAACGCTTGTCAATCTCCCGAATTTACCCACGGATGCGTCGATAAGTGCCTGAACGACACGCGATTTTCCATCAATCGTCCGATAAATGCGCGATATGCCCGGGGCTCACTCGAAGGTTTTTTGGGTCGCGAGTGTTCCGATAAAACAAGCCCGCGGCCGCTAACGGAAACATTGGGACGCTGATGGCCAAGCAAATAAATCTAGAACCGCGGATGGTTAGTTCAAGAAATTAGCGCCCGCCCAGCGACAAAAAACGACGTTATGGGCTGCGGGTGCTCGCAGTGATTGTCTGAGAAGATTGTGGAATAGCGCAGTCACATTCCAGTGTTAGCTTTGTGTAATTGCATCACTTCTACGAAGTGCAGTTAAGCAATCCGCTGCCAGCAAGTCACTATCATAATCAAGAAAGCATCCGAAGATGATTGCGCAAAGTTTAGCGTTGTTTTGAAAGTGCACTCTCCAGTGCAAATACAAAGAGTAGTCAACTACAGTCGGTGATTCAAACTGAAGACTAGGCCGTTTTTACAGCTGGGAAAAAAAGTAACAGCGTTAACGCTATTCTTGCCTGTCATTCGCCGACTTCATGACGGATAATTCATCGATATTGCCTCACTTGACCAATCCATCTTCTTTTGAACTACTTCAGTATATCTGTGCTCGTTGCAGCTAACCGATATTGCATTCCTGCACTCCCTGCTGTTTTTCTCCTTTGCAGACCAATCCTTTTTGTGACTCTAATACGATTCGATGAGTGCTACCATTGATATTGGTAACAACACGCTACAGCTAAGATGGAACGACGGTTTGCAGCTGAAGCTTAGGCGGAGTTTTGCAAATAAATCGAGTTTTGCAATTAAAGTAGAGGAGTTTCTTGAGTCGCAGTGGCGTTCTGGAACGAAATGCATATCATTGGTTACGTATTATTGAGCCGACAACTTCAACTCGTATCTGATTGTGTTGTCTAAAAGAAGTTATAGACTATTAAAAGTCTGAATATGGCATTTGGTCATACTTAGTTATCGATTGTAATATTGTTGAATTAGTTGTTTAAAACATTCATATTTCCGGTGAGTGAGTGCATTCCTTGTAATCAGTGCACTCAACACATGCCAGATGGTTATCCCAAAGTGGATTCCGAAGCACATTATGCTTTGAATCTTGACGACTTCACACTTTTCAGCTCTCATAGCTTCTTTCAAAGAACCCCGCAGATAAGGGAGGTAAAGTTGAAATTAGCTCATTAGAGCGCATCTAATGATAAGCATATAATTCGAGTTCACCACTGCAATTTGGGATCCTTCCCTTATGAGCAGCACAGCAAAAATTCGTAAACTGAGAGTTTGTCTGTAATTTCTTTATAAATCCGCAGAGGATCGTTTCTACTCTTCATAACCATTTTTCCTCAATAAAGACGTTGTCAAGATGCGCTGGCAGTGTCAATGCTTATACATGGCTTCCCAAAAAATGTGCCTATTCTTTGGTTGTTAATAAATCTCTTGTCATAATGTCTTTGCAGAAGCTGTAGATACCGTTTTGTAAAGCTGGCTTTCACTTAGATTTATGGTATAGGGCAAGTCAACGTTCGCTCCTCATTACTGTACAATCACGCTGGGGACTTTGAAGAGATTTTTGAGCTACAGCGGGTTATTTTAGGTCATTCCATAAGTTCGTAGCGTTTTTATTTTCGTGCTCATATCTTTGAGGAGCGGTTGATTTGCGGCAGAATGCGTATATCGTTTGGAAGGGCTGATTGTGCTTTTTAAAATACATCTACTGATTTCGGTGGAAAGCTGATTCACTCGGATCTCGTAGCTTCCAAAGATGGAAATTTTGAAGGCAAAAAAGGAGCAATTTCGGCATTTGCGCCTTTTTCGTTATGAAAAGAAGCGTTTTTGCACCGATTTTTGTGTCGATTATGTAACGTGGCGTTCGTTCATCAATATAAGACAAAAAAGGAATTGGATTGGTACAAAAGAGCAGGAGCTGAGCAGGATGTCCCTGAACAAGACTTTTCGGGGGACGGGCAGATCGTCTTGCACTGAATATTGCTGGACAAGTAGGCGACGGTCAACCACGCCATAAGCAATCCAAATGCACGGTTTAAACCATGTCCTACCGCAGAAAAAGCCTAACAGACAAATCCAGTGAGTTTTTCTGCATGACGAAACATGGCCTCATACGGCAAACGTCGTCAAAACTCTCCTGCACGACTCGAGTGGAAGGTACTTCAGTACCCAAAATGCTCTCCAAACCTCTCTACCAGATTATCATTTGGTCCGCTCTCTGGCAAACCTCATGAATTGTGCATGTCTCGATTTCAGTAAGCATCTTGAGCGCTGGTTAGATGACTTTCTTGGGACCCGGCGCGCTGCCGTTTGAAAAATTGAAATTGAGAAGCTAACAAGAATGTGCCAAAAGGTTGTGCGCTACAGCCAGGAATATAATTTTGAGTGATTTTTACTGTAAATTGATGATTTTGTTGGTTTATAAAAACGCTACGAACTTATGGAACGACCTAATATTATGTTTTAGAAAGGAAACGCTACCCAGAACTCTCGCATTAGGCTAAAAATGCTAATTCTAAATACTGATTTTGCCTCTCATCATATTGCTCTCTTAAAATGTCAGGCAAACATGACAGCCTTTAATTCAATGTTCCCAAAAAATGTGGTTACACCGTTTAGAAAGCTTAAAAACCTTGTACAAAGTTCACCATCAAACCCAGCGTTCATGAAATTTTATCTACAAGTTTCTAGATTTTTTGAAGTTTTAGAACGCCTGTTTTTTCACATTAACGGCATATGCCAAAAGTTCTTACCGTAATCCTAAAGGGATACGTCAAGAGGCGATATTTATTGCCAGATGGACATTAGTACTTTTTAGTGTTTGACAACGTCCCAAAAAACTTTTTCCTGAGGAGACATGCAAGATCGTTGCCAGGGCTGCTCAACCTTACATCTTGGTATAGATTTAAAACATGAACGTTAAGGATCAAAAACCCGCGAATACGCAACTCCAATTTCGTGAATATCAAAGAAAAAATTTCAAAGCAGTCAAACTTAAAAAGTGGTGAATTCAGATAGTTAGTAAGCTAGCACTTTGTCCGATATCTAAGACCCGCATAGTTTCAAACTGGGCTGCTGTATTGGTGACCTCTGGAGAAATCGCGTCTCCTGACGGTCTCCCAGTAGCAATAAGAGCGATAGGTGATTCACTCTATGCTGTAAATCTAAGTTGAAGCCAGCTTTACAAAATGGTATCTAGAGCTTTTCGGAAGATTTTATCAGAAGAGAGTTATAGGCTATCAAAGAGTAGGCACATTTTCGGAACACCCTGTATCTCTATGGTGGGAATAAACGAAGTTTCAAATATTGCTCGTGAAAATTGTTCTTTCGACGGACTAACTTGTCAGCTCGTATGTCCTACCAAAACATAGAGCCGTAGATAGCAAAGACAGACCCTTTGTTGCGGCTCGGTGGACCCTGCACCCCTAGCCGTGTGCTCGACTACCCTACACCACAGTCTTACACCCTAGGACGTTACGCGTCCGCAATTGACAGGCCTGACCGGCGCGTCAGTCGACGCGGTCACCCAACTATCCTACCCACACATAACACAAGTATAATAAAACTTTATATACATAAAATAAGTAGAACAACTAATACAAAAACATTTATACAAAAGGAACTACTAGGCCCCCAAAAAGGATGACCCACCTACTAACACAGGACGAGCCGCGCGTTCTGTGCTGCCGATGTAGAAGAAGCTTAAATCCACCCGTGAAATTCTCTGTTCCTCCACAGAGTCGGCCGCTGGAGGCCCAGTCCAAAGGAACGGTGCACTCAGCAGCTCCATTCCCGCAACGGTGTTCTTCTACAGACTTCCCGGTTTCTTCGCGCTAATGCGCGTCAATCCACAAGATCCACAAGGCTCAACCGCTCAACAAGAAATTCTCAACCGCGGGAGCTGCCCAGAACGTAGCCAAGTACGATGCAAAAACAATCAATAATGAAGACGAATGTCGAAGAGGCGAGGGCTGCTCTCTCGCGCAGCCTTATATACCCCGCCACTGAGCTGCCGGAGGTGGTCCTGCGGCAGCCTACAAAAGGCGCGACAGCAAAAGCGGCATACAGCGCCCCGGCACCTGTTCCAAGGAGCGCTCTGCATCGCGGAGCCGCGACACCCTTAAACACCGATTAGAATGCCCCTTCATAGCTTCTCTCTCCCTCCTCCCCTCCCCTTTCCTCCCCCCACCCTTTCCTCCATTCCCATCTTCTCGGGAACGTAATGCATAAGAACAACGCTCATCATTTCATATAAAAAATGCAGAATATGCGTGCAACTTATGCTACAGATTTTGATGCGAGCAAAAACACTCGCAAAGATTTGTATGTTGCAAAAACAATCACAAATTGATGCGTATCTCAATATTTTGGAGCTTTCAAGCCCCAATCTAGTGGAATTTGATTGTCATTGTATTATCATTTTACTGTCGTTTCACTTGCTATGGTCAGTTGCAGACTGAAACTGACCCTAATCGAGATGCTACTCGATGCAGGAGCTTCGGTGAACGTTCTCGATCGTAGTTCGCGATCAGCGCTCTTGCACGCAGTAAACATGAATGACATCGAAATCGTCCAATATCTGCTGAGTGTGAGTTTATATGACTGGAAAAAGCTTCGTGAATGCTGCCAATCATTTTTTAAACCAAAAAATATTGCATTTAGAAAGGAGCCAGTACGGACGTTGAAGACGAAAATGGCGACACACCATTACTCGTTTGTGAACACACGGCGAATTATGCTATAATGGGAGTTCTTCTCGACGCCGGCGCGGATCCTAACAAGAAAAATAAAAATGACAAAGCATTAGCTGACAGTGAAGATGAAATGGTGCAGAAAATTATTGGAGGGGAGAGGTGAGTTTCTGTTTCAGCCATGTTCTTTTGTAAGATCAGTTGTCCGATAATAATTTTTGTTCAAGGGTCGAGCTGCCCGAGAAGGAGGTGCCACTCTCCGCTCCATCCGATATAACAACCACACGCTCTCCGCTCTTCGGTAGGTCATTACCCAATCTTTATGTAAATGAGGATTCTGAGTCGCCGCGTCTGACGCCTTCTTACCGTTCGGAGGAAACATCAAGGCAAACGGAAGAAGACCAGAACCATGGTACAAAGAGTATTGATATGCTAAAAGAACATTACTCTATGTTGGCTAACATTTTCAGACGGCAAAAGGCGTCCAAGTGATGACGCAGCTGGTGAAACCGACGAGTACCCTGAAGATCTGCCATCGACAAGTACTGGACCCAGACCGAGGAGAAGCAGCAGATTTACTAGAGCTACCGCTTCAGCTTTAGAAGGTACGTTGAGAATGTACAAAAACCAGTGTTATTTCATTCAACAATGTCTTGTCTATAGGCAGCACAGTTAAGCTAGGTCTCTAGATAGTGCACTCATCTGCGCTTGAGCTAATTCTCACAAAGAAGGTAAAGAATCTAGTTTACATCTAGAAAAGAGTCCCAGAGTATTCGTCAAATGGACTATTTCTCGTGTTAGCTCGTCATTCCTAACCTCACGCTGGCCAGAAAAACTCAACAAAATCGTTGTCCAGCCGCTTGCGCTTCCGCGCCAATTATTTACTCTATTCAGTAAGCAGCTACTCCTATCTGCATGATAACATAGGAAAACTAATTTCGAAAAATCTTTTTAGAATAAGGCTATAGCTATAGCTAGGAAAAGGCAGTTTGTGGAAAAAGAAGTGATAAAGGAAACACGGGACGAGCTGCCTTATTCACGCTATCGTATAAGATTGATTATCCCCATTCGTATAGGGCTTGCCATCAGATCGACCGCAAGCCGCCAAGACTTACACGTTTGCGGTGTGGCGTCTCCCTATACCCGTTGGTGTTTTCCATCTACATTTATCTGAGAGTCACGCTCAATATGCTTGGTTTCCTTCGCGTACTAAGCAAGAAAATGCATGCTTAATCCGGAAAGCACTAAATGATCTAAAATTGTGTACGACACTTTCTGCGCTGCTATATATAAGAAGACGTCAGATACAAATCACATACCGCGACTTATACAGTCTGTTCCAATCGAGATCAGGCTCTGGGGTTTGCGCTGCATATGCGGACTGTCTGGGAAAGCGAAGAGGTTGAAGAGAAAGCAGACAAGCAAACCGCAGCTATTACGTAAAACGTTGTGACGCGGATGTGCGTCACTCCAATGGACTGTTCTGGATTGCGACAGACTGTACATATCCCTCGTGCTTATGATCAGGGGTTGCAATGTTGAAGCGCATAATGTTGCTAAGAACAGCGTCCCGACCTTTTGTTTCGAAAAGCGGCATTGCGGACTGCGACACGAGCATTGTAGTATTCCATGTGGAAATGCTCCTCAACTTGTATAGTACATACAAACCGAGACAAGACTTTTCATCTACTATAAAAGTAGTAGTAATTGTAAGCTTTCTGCTTCTCCACGTGAAGCAAAAGTTTCAAATCGCTCGATGTCAAAAACAGCGTAGCCTTATTCGTAACGGAAGTTGCCTTACAGCTTCAGAGAAGAATTACTGATGTTTGAAAACATCTACCCCATTTCACCGTCCTGTTTCTCTCCAGTCTGCCAATTTTTTTCCAGATGACATCTCCAGTTTGGATTATCTCACTCGCTTACGACTATCGAAGCTTATGGATGAGAACGCGAAGTGGCAGCAGTTGGCAACAGTTGCGTGATTTACTGATCTTGTTCATTTTAAGTGCTAGTGCTTTGTACAAAGATAAATCAACAATAATTTATCTAGGAGCTTGGCTGTGGTCATATGATTGAGCTAATTTCGATATGTTCGGATGACAGCAGTCCTACAATGATATTTTTGGATCAATTTGAGGTGGGAGATTTTTAGAATATACAGATTTCGAGAAAAATAAAGATAACTGAGAGTCACTTGTGTTCGAGTCATTATTTTACCCAAATTGAACCATTTGCAGCAAATGCCAGAGGCAAAAATTTCGCGGGTTCGCTCCGCTCTCAGCACACTACAGGAGGAGGAGTCTGTGAAACTTATCGACGAGAGATACATTTACTAATGTGATTGTTTCTTTCTGAAATAAAGCTATTCTGGTGCTTCCGTCAGTCGCACATTTGTTTCAGAACATCCGCAGAAGCATCGAATTTTGAGCTATACTGACGCTGCAAAAACTTTGTTTCAATGGAAACATGTGTGAATGTTTACCCCACGTTTTTCGACAACAGTTGCTCACCAATGACACATGCATCGCCCCCGATATCTCGAGAATCCACATCAATAGAGGTCACACGGTTTTTGTTGCTTATTGGCTTTGTGGAGCTCAATGTTTGCCCACACTACATCGCCACTTTCTCCTCCGAATATAATTTTGTGAGCAGATTATTTCCCTCACACCGGTAGCAAACCTAATTATGATCAACTAAACTTGACGTACTTAGAAATTTGGTATTATAACCAACTTATAATCCTTCATTTATTGTGTGAACAATCATTGTAACAATAGCTGTTTTCTCGAGTTTTCATCTCATTTGCCTCCTTGCCTTTACAGTTACCATCTCATCATTATATAATAGTTCAAGTATCCGCACATGGTGATATCAAAAAGCGGTACTACATTTGACTTTGATGTAGCATCAATTCCCTATTTGCTGATGCTTGAACGTTACCTACAACAATTTACATAAAATTTACACTTCGTGAAAACCGAAGTACCAAAATGAGAAAAACGATTTATTACGTTGATAAGAAATTCTTTGACCCCTTCTTCCTTTTACAATAGTAACTCAATCTTTTTACAATATAAGGTCAAAGAAGGAGATCATACATACGAGAGTTTGCCTGTATTGGTTCACGTGCCTCTCTTCCTTGAAAGCTTGTGATTACGTATTTGGACAGACTGTGACAAATCGTGTATTTCTTTCTTTTTAGGAGTTTTCTTATAATTGCCTTTGAAAGTCTAGAAAAAACAATTTGCGTAAGGCATCCTGAAGGGTGCAAAGTCCACAAAGTCACAACTTCGTCCAAAACGCCAAGTATGGCCAGAAATTTATTTGATCACAGTCTTCAGTGAAATCATGTCCATTGTGATAACTTATTACTGTTTACATATTTTGTATTAGAGCTGTCGCATCCTGGAACTGTAAGAAAGCTAAGACACTCTTTTCAATTCTAAAGAACGAAGAGCGAATAGTCACAAATAAGAAAAATAAGAAGAAAGAAAAGCAAAAGAAGAATCCGTAGTAGAAGTAAAAGATTCGTGATTCTGATTGCTTCAAAGCGCATTTATTGCGCTCAGAGCACGTTGCGCCACCAACGAAATTTTTCGCTGTGAAAAGCTAAGAAGGAAGAGTGCCTGTTCAGGCTTGTATCAAAATACAGCGCAAATACAGTTTATAATAAAAATTCCCGAGCATCTATTTTTGCGAAGAGTTGGGTCCAATTCAGCGGCCAACTGGAACGGTTCCAGCTAATTTGGAAATAAATTGGGCACGACTTCCATTCACACGAGCTTTCATAACTTTTTGGGCCATGTTCAGGTTCACTCACGCGTTTGTGCGCACCAAATTTGGTATAATATCGTTGCTTCTTGCAGTGAACGAGACATCTGTTTGTTTGGCACGCGAAATTACAAACTTCCGTCGTTTGCGACGTCGCGTGATAGCGTGTACGGGCCCTGCCCTAGTATGGTCAAACCGGTGATTATGTCTGTCTAAAGAATTCTAAAGTAGTAACGTCTGATGTCCATTTTCTCGATTTTTTTGGGGTTTCGCTCACCTCCTCCTCCACATATCCTTTCCATCGGAACCGATGTCCACCTGGCTCGCTTGCTTGCAGTTGTACCGTGCCCTTTTCCTGCCATTCTTGTAGCTATGGATGCGCACTGCCAAATTTTTTTCTGGCGCGTTCAACTATCATACAGGAACGCTTCATCTATTGCAAAAACGTTAAAGAATAGGCAGATCAATGTGAGACTGGTATGTAATTTGTAAGGGACTGATATGCGCAAGTGTCACGACGGATAAAATCTACTACAACGACGAAGCTCTTCTGTTATTTATTATTGATGCAAAGAGTAACAATGAAAACAGGCTGGACTTTTCTTACATTGTGAAAGGATACGTAATATGTAGGGGTGAACACAGCGCAAGATTCAGTCGAAAATTGGTGTTGCGGGTTGATAGGCTCAGCAACCCTTAGCCTCGTTCGACTGCCCTACACAACCAGCCCCAATCTCAGGATGTTACCAGGTCCACAACAGGCGGGCCTAGCGTATCCAGTCGAAGCAACTACCAGCACTAATCACCATTGTTTACGCTGCGTTGATGTTTAGTATATTTGTATACTAAATAATAAGAAAAAAAAATACACAACAAAATATCAAACTACGAAAATCTCAGACTAAGCTGGATGACCAAGATACTCAATTAGTATGAAAAACGTTTAGGCTCCTCCGACAGGGTCTGCCGCTAGAAGCCCTGGTCCACATGGAACGGCGCAACTCTAGCTCCACTCCCTATTATTATCATCGTTGTTTACATCCCAAAGCTCGACCGCTCAACATAAAAACTTCTTCTACGGAATGCTGAGAACGGATCCCAGCCTTATATACCCCGGCACTTGGTCGCGTTCCTGCCGGAGTGGCTCTGCGGCGAACACAAGGCGCAACAGGTAAATGCGGCTACTGCGTCTCCGACATTTGTTCCGAGAAGCTGTTCTGCATCGCGGAGTCGCGACAATCCGAAGTAAAGATCTGCTCAAGAGACGGTGATCGGAACCATTGCATTTAGATGAAACTACTAGCGCAGCCTCCATCTTTGGTTGGTGAGTATGTATCTCGCATGAGTCGTTCCGTCGACTCACACCTGTGTCCGGGGGCATTTTCGTAATAGAGATTCCACAAAAGAGTCCTTTCTTATTATCCCCATTAATCACCAGCTAGAAGTCAGCGAAGCTCAACGCAATCAACTTAGTGTGAGACTGGCTACATTCATGTTTCTGTCTTATTGTTTTTTGGCGCACCTCGAGTGTATCAACCCCAAAATCCGTACAATAAGTCCTCCTATCAGCTAAGTCCACCTATCAGATAAGTCCGCAGCAGACCTAGCAGATAAGTCCGCTTTCTTGACAACGAAAGTCGCCCTCGCGCCGCCAAGAATCCTGCAGATAAGTCCGCTTTCTCATGCTCAAGATAGGCGAACTTATCTGCTGCGGACTTATCTGGTAGAGGATTCAAGAGGACTTATCTGCAAGACATTTGGCTGCGCAGAGGGCGATTTTTCATCGATTTTTCGTGTCAAAACTGCAGATAAGTCCGGACTTATTGTACGGATTTTAGGGTAAATAAAAAATTAGACGAAAGAAAGGAAAATGTCGCTTATAGCGGTCACACGTTGAAGGAGACTTGCTGTATGGAAAATTGCAACTGAATGATTGGATCAATACAGATACCACTCTCTTTTCGCGCATTAAACACCGTTTGATTAAATGGTTTCTGATTGTGGTTCTACACGCAAAAGGTTCCCAGATTTGCTTGATCATGTTTTCAATCGGTGGATCTTCTTTTTCTTGGTTATGATAACTGCATCAAATGTGACACCCGCACTTGTTCGGTGACGCACATCTCCGGTCTTTGGAAAATTGAATGTCTAAGCCTCTTTCAAGATGATAAGTAATTTATCTTCATGACAGTTAAACAAGAAGTTCGCATGACTTTGATTGGCATTGACGTAGTGGTTTTTCTCTCCCACTCAATCACTGTTTCTCATGTCCTTCCAAATGTTTGAGATCTTGATTTGACCAGGGAGAAATTTTTCCTTGAGCTTTCAGAGACATCAAATCAAACATGTGGGAGGATATTTCTAGGTGACATATGGAAACTTTGTCAACGATAGTTGTTGGAATTTGTTACACAACCTACTGCCAGAGAAAATGGAGTATGCGAAAGAGACTGCGGAGATCGCTGCAGCAGATTTATCATTTCATGATAAAGAGTAGCAAACTAAGTTTTTCGTTGATTTTTACCTAGATTAATTACACTAAGAGCGATTTTATTGGCAGTGCTCCAGAAATGAGAGAATGCAGAATGGGGTTCCGAGGAGGGCTGAAGGGAAGCGCCTCTCCTGGGATTTGTCGCGAAATTTTAAGTTACGTGCATGACTTGCAAGAATGTGCAAGTGACTTGTTTGTACTGCTTAATAACTAAAATGATTTTGAAAAATTTTTGAAATCCCATTTAATCTTATAAAATCTGAAATTTCTGAAATTTTGTAATGAGCTCGCGAAAATTTCAGCAGACATAACAAAAAAATTTTCGAAGTGCGTGCTAGTGCCATGCACCTCCATCAGAAAGAAAATTTTGCTGCCCCCTCCCCTGAACTTGATTTATGGGCACGCCACTGTCCTCTACACTTGACAGACTGTTGGGTAAAAGCAAAAAATTAATATCGTCTCGTTTGCTTTGAACAGAAGTCGAAAAATGCGAATCTAGGAGTCACAAAAATTTTCCGACACCCAGTTCCATTTATGAAGTGCAACTTTCAGCACTCCAATTTGCCTTTTCTAGAAATTCGGAGAAAAGATTCTGTTACTATTGCAAAAATAGCTGGAGTAGATGTAATGTACCCTTAATTCAACTGGCTTGACGGCTGGAACGAGGCTTCGTGACCTAGTTAAGGCTAGATGATAACCAGAGAGCATGCGCTCGAGAGAGACGCAGAATGCGCCGCGGGAGCGAGCGGCCTTATTAGGTCACGAAACCCCGCCTTAGAGCTGCCAAGCCGGTTGAATCAAAGGTTATTATTAAGTTCAGGTCATATATAAGCACTTTTGGACATTTTATCTCGTCAAGCGAAGCTATAGTACTTATTACCTATAATCTCGAGGGCTTTCTTTCAGTGTCAACAAATATTATTGCAGCCCTATCACCCAGTTCATGAACTTCGGTTGTCGCAGGAAGATTAGCGTCAGAAGGTAACTTAATCCTGACATTACACTGAAACTTCGGCGGTGTTGAAAAAAATGCGGCTTGTTTGCTTGTCATGCTCGACCAGCGCATAATCATCTGCACCATCCGTAGCATATGCACGCTTTGCAAAAGCCAGGTTCTGATGAGATCAAGTCCTGTGCTTCTGTAGCATTTTCTGTAGTTCGTAAATATTGAGTTTAGGCGTGAAACACGGCGATGGAAGGAACCTTTAGAGAAAGCGCTTCGGCCAGAAAATATCCAGTTACGTGATAGCAGTCTGAACCAGGAAAAGACTAATGATGTGAGTCTCCTTTAATCATAGTTGTTCACCAAAACTTTTCTTCAGTTCTAATTCTCGTTTGCTAGAGATAATGCATAATTGATCTCCTTCATCCATCCGTTCCTGAAACTTGTGGTAGTACAACGCACCACTTGAAATTTTTCTCGGTCTATTTTCTTTGAAAACTGTTAACTCTTGAAACTGTTCGTAAAAAGTGGTATTTGTCCAAATCGATACATAGTCCAGCAAAACGTCTCACACACATAGTACAGCAAAATTCTCAACTTATGTAGACGTCTTCGTATATTCTCAATTCCTGTTTCAGAATATTCGAAAAAATAAAATCCCCAAGGAAGAAAGAAGAAAAAAACTTACTTAACGTTTGCTCCAAAAATTAGCAAAGAGCGCATTATTACGCATCTCTACTGTATTGAGCAGAATTCCGCTCTCATGAAAGATGCTCGTATTGCTAATGAAAAAAATTGAACTTGTTCACTCCCTACTCGTTGCAATATTTACGGTCATCATGAAAGTCTTCCAAATTTTCGCAACTTGCACCGAGTTTTTACTCTTTTTTCAGTGAGTCGAGTTAACCCAACTGGTGGAAATACATGTCAAAGCTCCAAGCTTTATTTTCAAATTGCGAAAGAAAATCCGTTTCCGAACTGCTTCGAAAAAAAATCTTGGACAATTAATCTCCCAAGTCGCTTCCTACAGCGCTTTTGCTTCGTGATTGATCAACATTCGACACTTTTGAATTCAACACAAATAAAACTTCTAGAGACTAGCAGGGGTGGATCAGGGTAACGACATGGAGAATGTTTTATATTGACCAAAATTGCTGTAAACAAAGAAGACGAGTTGAATCCTATCTATCAGGTTGTGAAGAAAGTTCTGCCATTAGAGGTTAAGCTAAATTATTTTCTTTATATCTTCAACACGAGGGGCCATCAACGATATTTTGGTCATGGGTACTGTTAAGCTCAAACTACTGATTATGTAAATCATGGGAATTTCTACAAGAAAGGCGGTGGCTGCGTTTCGAAACAGCCAGAGAGTTCGATTTTTTGACTATGAAATCACTAAGCTAATTTTTGCTCGGAAAAAGGCCCAAATACCGGAGCAAGTTAAGTCGGATATCGCTTCATCTAAACAATACTAAGGGATATAACGGATTTTTGCACCAAGCTTCTGGAAGTTCTGCGCGTCCATAATCTTGAATGTGCATTTTCGCAGACCTAAGCGCAACGGATTTTCCTCCTTCTTTGGGTATTTCTTCTTGTTTTTCGTTATGTTTCCAAATTTAGCGTATCTTGTAGCTAAGGCCATCGCACACTAAGCACACCCCAAGCCAGCCCCTTGCATTCGCGTTCATTTTTGGCAATTCATGAGAAGAATTGGCAGAACTTCTTTTACAACGTAATAAATAGATGATTGTGTGATTGACAACAATCTATTATACGCTTCTTTTCAAGCCTTTATAAGTCTACGTTTTCCTGGAAGTAAAGTGATGCTCAAATTCAATTATCGACATCACATGGTTGCTATTCACCCTTTCTTATACTTTGAACGGCCTCATTAAGGTTAAACTCAATTCTAGGCATTCTAGGCTTACAAGTAGAAACTTATACTTTATGAGGAGCCGAAAAATTCATGGCTTTCTCTTCAATGATGAAAGTAAAGTGAGAGATGTCCCTCAATTTCATCTAATGGAAACCTGCTACATTTGGTGCGAGATACAATGTTTTTATAGTCTCCTGTGTTCCCATGATAAGAGAAGTGTCACGTGAATTTCTGAATTGAATCGACTGAATCTATACAGCAAAGAGGTTCTTTTGCATATCTGTACTCTACTAATATGTGCCTTTTGTAGGATCTAAAAAACAGGTTTTTGTATATTCTTTTTTGTTTGTTTACGGTTTATTTTCGCAAAGCTCTTCAAAATCTATAACTCTTGAATTTACAATTTACTATAGAAAAGCTGAGAACGAGTTGATACATTTTGAGATTTGATAATAGTAGTAGCAAACTAAAACTCCCCCGCTCTATAGCAAAAGCAAAATTCTCATAATTTTGCATGGTATGCGGATTTCATGATTACATCACCAATCCCTGAACACGCGATGTGCATTTTGGATATCGTTATGGAATGAAAATTGCCATGCTATTCGTCTCAATTGGCTTTTCAAGTGCACGTCTGGCCATTCTACCAATTTGCTATTTCTAGCATTGAGAATAAATGGAACACGCGAAGGAACTTCTATGAATAGCGTTTCCCTCGAAAAATATCATCACATCAATAACGGGACTTTTGATCTTGCAAAAGTTCCTCATTACTGTAAAGCTCTGAGTCAAAAATCTGCTTCGCTCTTTTTTTTCCAATAATATTGGTACCTTTGCTGCAGCACCAACTTTCAAATGTGAAGATTTAGCCAAATCTTTGATCTATAAAGCAGGTGCAAAATGTTTTATGTATGAAATTTGAGAAGCTTTATGGCCAGAAACAAACATGTGTCATCCACCTGACACATGTTCGTCATAAACTAGACGAAAAAGAAACCCCGGTGCTGATTGAAGTCGAAAAATTTTTGTGTATAGTTTAAAGACGTTAAAAGTCGCATGACTTTATCTGTTATATGGAATTCAAAATTTGGTTTTCTTAGGCGTTATCCTATCTTGGACGAGCTATCGAGGAATGCGGTATCGAAAATGAAATTGCAACATTTCTGAAGAAGAAATTTGATGAAAAATATGGTAGGTCCCTTCTTCTGTTGTCTTTCTGCATCTTTGCAGGAAAACCTCAAAAATACTTCGCTCTGTCTCAACTTTCAAAAAACTCGCAAAAATCAAACTGCACAATATAGTTTTCTATTTTGACAACGCATTTTTATTAACGCGATGCAATTTTATTTAGCAAAATTCGATTTGTGAGCGTGTGCTAAACAGAACATCTGTCTACCTAGTAAATATCGTAGCTGATGCCCTCATCTCTCTTTCTTCTTATTTCTCTCAATTCCTAATTCACAATTGTTATGCTAAACGAATATCTTCCAGAGATCCAGCAAATACTTGAAAAATGACTTTTTTCTGTTTTCATATTAAATTCTGCAAAATTACAAAAACGATCATTTTTTCTGCAATAGGTTGCTGCTGTATTGTACGAGTCGGAACAGCAAACCTTAAACGACTTTGCATAAATTTCTTTTCCTACTTTGACACTGCGTTTTTTAATGCTCTTGATACCTGCTCCGGAGCATGTTGATCGAAATTCGCATATTACATGCAAAAATGTATATGCCAACTTGCAAAATATATCTTGCTTAAAGTTTTAACACCGTGTTTTCTAAAGCTCTTAGTACCAGTTCCGGAGCATGTTAATTGGAATTCGCATACATCCAAATCACTTTTCTTTATTCAACTTGGATATTATCTTTGCTATTGCGAACTAGAAGCTGCGAAGCCAGCTACAATAATGATTTGAGAAGTCCAAACAAATTTGCTTCAAATGCCCCGCGAGGACAAAACGAACAATTTTTCTTTATAGGCGGTGCGTGGCAATGTATCGTCGGACGTAACTTCGGCATGCACCTAGATTGCAACGAATTCATTCATATGTACATAAGCAAAATTTCAATTCTTCTCTTCAAGTGTTAATTTCGTTCTTTCGCTGTATTTGTAATGACTGTCATGTAAAACCTTCATAAACTCGCATATTTATTCATCCGGCGCATACTGGAATACAAACATGGAACCAAAAAGCGAAGATCGGCCTTGCACGCGGGCCGTACTCCCGTTGGAGATAATTTGTTTTTTAGTGCACCACATTAGGATGGCCTTTGGTGAAGCAGCCTCGAATACGAGGAAATGCACAAATCATCCAGCGAGAGTACACGGTCACGCTCTTAATTCCAATTTTATTTCAAAAATACAGAAAAGAATGACCGACCTAGATTTCCTGAATATTCATAGATGTCGTGATAAAAGTGAAGCTTCGAATCAACAACACATTGGACAAAAGGCACTTTCTAACGCCGACTTAGTACATTATGCGGAGTCAAGTAGAAACTTGATGCACCGTTTGGCCGTTGCCCAGTTTTTCTGATTAGAACTACAATTACAGAATAATAATATGACAAGGAGATTGTGGCAACGGAGAGCGACATTAATACAGATCACGGTAGCACACCAGGAAGAACCACGTTCTCTGTGTATAGCACAAGCCAATGTGGTCAAAATAGAATGGGAAACGAAGAAAGACAATGAAAAAAAGTAAGTAACACAACAGCGATAGAGCAAATTCTAGCAAACTATGAGCACGTAGTAATCACTTCTTTTCCCGTGCCTCGTACAAATAGAACCCGACTGATCTTGTCCGACAAGACCTCCAAATAATGGATGTAGTCGTCAAGACCTAAACACATAATTTGATTTATTAAACAAAATTTCGTGATATGAAGCTGTATTATACTTAATAATACTAGGAATTCTATAAAAAGCTAAAAACGAACCTTCTTTAGTCTTCGGAGGTTTTGGCAAGTTTAGTAGTACGAGTTGGCTGTTTAGCGAATGTTCAATGATAAGCTCATTGAGTCGAACAGCAGTATGCATTTTGTGCACCTATAAGCAGCTCATTTTCTATTTTCCTTCACGTCATCGCACGCAGAGACTGAACGCCGTTGCGTCCGCGAAAGACAGTACGTGCTTAGAAGAGACAGTAGACGGTGAAAAAAATAAAAGTGCGCTGGTCAGAGAGACGCCGACAGCGTCCACAATGGCGTCCTATCCCTGCATGATAATGATTTGCCTATGTTAAACTCACTTTTGTTCGATCCAGAGCTCGCATTCTTTCTTTCATTGTTTTCTCCTTTTTGTTTTCGTCAGTTATTGATTCTTCCTCCGGTGATTTATCTGCAAAAGCACCAAAATATGCGAGAAAGATATCAGAAAGTACTATACCTTCAATCTCGTCATGCGATTTATTGTCTCCGTTTTCGTTATCCGATTTTTTAGCAGATTTCTCACGTTGTTCCGCAGTGACGAGAGGCTGTAATTTACAAAAGATTATATGATTCACTTCAAAGTATTATAGATAAAAAATACCGAGATCCCTCGACCCATGTTGCCGCTTCTAGCCTCTTGCATTTGCTTGAGAACCATGGTGCGCTCTTCCATGAGAAGCGTACGTTCGAAAGCGTTTTTAGAAATCTCGGGATCAGCCAGCTCAACGATCTACAAAGTACGAGAAATTAAGGAAAATACAGTTCATAATTTACGTGAACAAAAAGAATACCAGGATTTTTGCGTCGATCCTAAGTTGGTAGACATATTGCTGTAGTTCAGACTGCATCTTTAGATTGTTGTCATTCTCTTGTGCAATTGCAATGATTCGCAGTTTGCAACCTCGCCAGACCTTCAATAAATCAAATTAGTACCAAGTCGCCCTAGACAACGTTTGAAAACAACCTTATGCTGCTTTAGAAGATATCCCATCAATAAGCATAGTCCTCCATCCTGCACGATCCAGTATACATCAATGAATCCATTTAGTCTGAAGACGATTGATGGGAAGTCAATTATTCCTTTTGCAACCAACAGGCACATGTCCATTGCGACTGCGGCATGCAATTTATCTAAAAGGGCTGGTTTATGCTCAAATTTCGTGTTATTCTGGCTTGCAAAAATTGAATTCCAGTCTTTTTTCATATGAGAAATCTTTGAGAAGAGTCATGAAACGAAAATTATGATAAAAATTACACAAAGGTCAATTTTACAAATAAAAAAGCTATGAACATCAAAAGGGAAAATTCTAAATTTTGAATAAACCTTACCAGTGAAGGTGTTGTACTCAGAGTCACTGCTTTCCGATGATCCACGTTCGTGTACCGGCCACGATATCAGCATGGTGTTAGGTTTCAAGCCACCCAAACCAACCGACTGGATCAAGGTAGACATAGAACCAGTTATCTGTAATGTAGCTTTGATTGGAGCATAATGACCTCAAAAAGAGTGACACTGACCTGGTCCTCATCATGAATCATCGCTTTAGAGAAGCCACGAAGACGTACTTGATTCATATCAAAGTCCATTCTGGATTTGATCTGAAACATTGAGCTTGAACACCTCGCTTCCACAAAAAAATTGCGAAAAGAAGAATATAGAGATGAAGAAAAGCACTGCACCTGTTCAGCACGTTTTCTATCATCGGGGCTTGTGACAGATCCTCTGATGAATGAAGTGACAATGGTCAGTCCCTTTCCTGCTTTGAGCTGGGATGCCAGATTCAAAAGGTTCAGATATCTCACGTCAACCAATTCCTTTGCCCATGGCATTGAAAGGATAAGAAGCAGTTGAGGGCTGAACAAAGGTTCACAATGCCTATTCTGACGTTATAAATGTGAGCGAGAACTAACCGCCAATTCTTTGGATGAGGGTCTTTTTCTTCGATTTTCATGAGTGAATACTGAGCGGTGGTAAGAGCCAAACCTCTAATACCATCACCCCATTCCTTCTTGGCACTGAAATATACCATGATCATTGATCACCGCCATAGTTACAAAGTGGTAACGAACCCCTTCCACTCGACGTATTTGTAAATGACAAGGCAAAGGAAAATCGAAACGAGAGCATAGTCCCAATGGGTAGAGAACATGATGAAGAAGCATAGCACAGCACCAAGAAGGGAAAGAGACCTGCAAGTCAACAGCTGGAACCAAAATCGATGGGAATTGTTATGGAATCTTACCAGTGGTAATACTGGAAGCGAGGACGCCAGTTGGGAGCTCCAAGCAGAGAATGCATAGTGCAAATGATGTTAACGAAAGCGTAGCACATCAAGAAGAAGAAGTCTACAACAGCGGCGATACTGTCCATAGCACCCAAAAGGATAGCTGCCTCGGCAATGACGATTGTGATAATCAATCTAAAACGCAAGTGTTTTCTCACTCGTATTATTCCTAAGCAGCCACCAGGCTTAATAACTCACCCAAGGAAAGGTTCGTTATTTTTGGTGACTTTTTTGAAAGGGCTAAGGATAGGTATCACATCGTCTTTGGCAATACTTTGGAGAAGACGAGGAGCAGAACATAGGCATTGTAAAGCTGCTCCAAATGTTGAAAGGAAAGAGCCACCAAGCAAAACCCAAGAGCTAGGCCAAGACAGTTCGCCGACAATCATGGAGCCTCCCATAGACTGACCATTCCTGAATCGTGGACATTCAGCGCTTTATGTTCGAAAAAAGCATCAGCATCACTCACTTGTCTCTCAAGACACTACCATCAATAGCGGCTCCAAATACGAGAGCCAAAGAGAAGTATACGAAGGATGTGGTCAATTGAGCAGCAATCGTACCAGTAGGGATCGATCTCTGCGGATCCTTCAGATCACCTGTGACAACAAAATAGCTTCTCCGTGTGATAGGAGCAAATTACTAAGCACACAAGTAGCAGGCAGTACGATTAATGAGATTATGATGTACAGGCTGTCTCAATGTGTGTGTCAAAGCTCCACTGGTTTCGCGCGGCCGCTCTGCTCGGCTTTGCGCCACGTTCGTGGAGAAAAGTTTGAGCATTATCTCACGGCTCTTTAAGTCTGCCTCAAGCGTGGAAAAATGCTCTGAGAATACGTTCGCGGATGCGGCGCAAGAATTGAGCGAGGCGGTCGCAACGACCCGCGCCGCTGAAGCTTCGACACTCACAGTGAGGCAGTCTGTACTATCAGAACTGCGCTTTTATCAAATCAGTTCGAAGAAGTATTCAAAAAACCACAAAAAATAAGGAATAAACGAACCACTCATATTTGCACCAGTGAAGATTCCAGTGACTGCTGGGAAGTAGATGGCAAGAAGCAACCAAAATGATGTTTGCACATCCTCAAAACAAATCATATGTAACAAACTCGCTTCCTTTGGCGATGCTCACAACTAACCTGGAACACATCACGGTTCAAATCTGCTTTGTCTTCAACAGTGGTGTGGAATGCTCCTACGTAAGCGGAACCAAAATTATCTAAAACGTTGATATTTTGAGAAGAAAAGAAGAAAATTTATTTCATACATACCAACAAAAGCACTGCTTTTGAAACCGGGGAAGCCATTGATACATCTGATATTTGGGAAAGAGTCTAGTGAGCAATCTTCAGTCGGGCAAAGATTCTTGTACAAGAAAGGGTTGCTGAAAGAGATCCCCTCAGTAACATATTGGCAACTTTCACTTGAAGGAGATTTTGAAAGTTACAAAAAAGAAACAAGATAAGCCGATACCAGACTAAGAATCAAATTTCAAGCCAAACCTTATATTACAGTAATCACAGATATCATAAATAGTTCCATTGCCTTCCGGCATCAAAAATCTCGATTGCATTAAATGATCCCCGTACATGCACACCCTGAATTTTCAAATTATATTTTCATAAAAAACTGAAACGCCAGCGTACTTAAGTCCTGAATCTGGGCTCAATGTTTTCGCGATACCACCCGCGTAGCATGCAAGGATAGAGATGATTACACAGACCAGCGAAACCTAAGTAACAACACTTAATTAGGTGCATGACCGTGCAACAAAAAATAAAAGTAAATCAATTCACGCACGGGTGCAAGCATCTGTACAAATTTCACTCCCATAGCGACAATAAGGAATTCGAGAAGAAGAAGTACGGTTGAGTAGAAGCGAAGGTTGTGCGTCATCATGCCAAATAGTCCTATGAGATAAAATTTACAAATTTACCTTCTATATTAAAATTGAGCGGAACCAACCTGTTTGAGTGTGGACCTCTGTCCCACCGATGGTCAATCCAGGGAAGATATAAAGCTAAATAAACCGGTTAGGATAATTATAGAATTTTAGAATGTAACAAAAATCTTACCAATAAGATTTCCACACCACCCACTAAGTACATGGATGCAGCAACCGTATTTGCTAAGTAGAATAAAAACCCGACAGCTGATCCAAATTCCGGTCCGAGATTTCGTGAAATCATGAAGTATGCACCTCCACTTTCAACAACACCATTTGTTGCGACAGCGGATAAGGAGATGCATGTGAGGAATGTCTAAAAAACACTCATAATCCATTCCAAAAAATAAAAGATAAATTGCATATATCAAGTTTTTTTTTCGATTCATCGAAGTGAATATCAAAAACTTACACATAGACAACACAAAGATAGAAGAAGGAATGTCTGGCCAAGTCCTGCGATTCCAACGACCCAACCTAATCGGATAAACATTGTGACGCCGAGAATATGTTGAATTGTTGGTAGATAAACACCGAGCATTACTCCGAGATCCGCCTGAACCATGCAAGTAAGAAAAAGATAAGAAAACACCAAATGATAACTTTCCAACCTTTTTCTTTTGGTTCTCGCTTTGAGCTCGTTCGAGTGGGCCAGGCGTAGTGTGGGCTCTAAGATAACTGGCGAAAAACGGCATCGACGGCTCTTCGAAGAGAGCCAAGTTGTGGTTACCGGCATCTTTGCCACCCCAGGAGAAAAGTTCTCCTAAAAAAAGTAAAGTCTAATGAAAGGAAGAGAAAATGGGGAGACTGCAAAGATTCATTATGCAGCTGGGCTCTTTTGTATATGCAAAGATTTGCTGAAAGTCTCTTTAGACTGTATCTCTCCCTTGTCTCGTTCTCTATCTTGACTGTTTGCAAAGAACATTCTGGAGCCTCAGGTTTTTGGTGCAAAAATGAAAGCGGGAAACGTAATCTAGTTCTATCGGCGTAAATTACTCAAAAGCCTTCCAAGCTTTTTCAAAATACATCTGAATTTGCAGCTGCAACTGAAACGTAGAAAGTCTGCAGCGATTATTTCCAGCGCAGACGGGTGCAGCACAGCTGGTGTCTTGTCCACAGATCCAATATTGCGAGTGCCTCAATTTCTGTGCAATTTGGTAGCTCGTACAGCACAGATACAGTACTCAACATTTTTAAAACTTAAATATTGTAAAAATGCTCAATAAAGTGCCTATGATGTTGAAACGAATGCAAAAAAATGTAACACAACAGACTGAAGCTTTGATTGTCAAAACTGTCAGAACCAATATGTTATGGCGCATCCAAACCGATTCTATGCAAATTTGTTACGGCCCGACATTACAGAAAATCGTAAAATCGCATGAAAATTTTGTCTTTTTAGGAGCTTTTGCTAGTAAATGCTTTGTATCAAAAAATTCATTGGCATCGTGTTCAAGTCTACCAGCATATTTGAAGCAAAATATAAACTGAAAGCGCGGTTTTTGGCTAAAGCAAAGCGCATAAATCAATGCAGACAGCACACGATTTGCGTACATTGCGGCAACGCGGTTATTTCCTCAGTCGCAGGAACTGGGTAAGTATACAAACATGTGGAGTTTTTCTACAATCGTTCATGCCAGTTAGATGGCTTGTGAAAGAGTCTAGGGAAAGAGGACAACATAAATCTCGACAATGTCGGGCAAATCCTCAAAAATCTAACGAAAAAGTGAGAATAAAAATCTATCGAAAAAGTGAGAATAAAAGTGTAAAAATTATCAAAACATCAAAAGTAAAGTGGAACATACGATGACTACTGCTCCGTGAGAGTATTGAGTCATTGTGGGAAAGCGCATGTGACTCAACATTTAGTGTGAACCGTGAACCAGCCAAATTCCTTGATGAATTAGGAGGAGGGGCAGCCGCTGCTGTAGACGGCTGACAATCTTGATCGCCTAATAGCTCGTTGTCTTCGCTTTCGCTCATCGGGGGTCCGTTTCGACGTTTATCAGAATTATTCATTACAAAAATAAGTTAGTACCGCGTTCGCGGGGTTTCTAACAAACCCGTCTGAATGGAGAGATTTCTGCAATCCTCAATAAATACGAAGTAGAGATAATTAGGAGGAACAAGCTATAAAAGAACGTGAATGGAAGTCAGCTGAGAGGTGTAATTAGAAGCTAGCGAAGCGAACATTTTTCAAAAGCACAGGAAAGACGGCGCGCAGGCAATAGGAAATCTAAGAATGTTTATAAAATTAAAAAACGCTGCGTTCGTCGTTGCCAGGAAACGTTCAAGAAGAGCGTGTCAAACACTGCATTAAAATAATTGCGAAAGGCAGAAGGGACAGAAACTGTGACTCCAGATTAAGTGCACTGAGAGTGAAAGTTCTAGCCCACAAACGCCCTACGGCCATTAAAATATTTCTGCAAAAAAGAAACGATTTTGCATTTGCATAGAGGAAACTCGAAAATGACATTCCTACTTGAACAAAAAGAAGTAGAGATTCCCTTTCCGCCTTTACAAAGCACAATAAGCGTTCGTTTCAACAGCCGATAAGTGCGCTTTGCGTCAGTCGCCAGCCAGCCTAACCAATAAAGAGCTGACGTTCGGCCAAAAAACCAAAAAGCGCTGCTGTTCTTACACCTATAGGTTTGGATATTGCCAACAAACAGCTATGGATCAAAATTGCTTACAAAAAGACTGCATTCACTGCAAAAGCGCTAGGATTGTACATCAATACCAAGAGCTTGGAAAACATCGGAACAAAGGATGACGGGACGTATTGGTGCAAAACATACAAAACAGCAACCTGATATGTTCGCTGCGAGTGCTTGTTTCCAATAATACCACTCTCCTTAATACTGATCTAGTTGAAGCAAAGCAAATCATACCTCCCCGTCAAAATCGGAAGGTTTTTGTGCAGCCGCACAACATTGCAAGGATAAAAAGATTTTTAGACTACTAGGCGTCTTGCAATGAGTTTTTTATCTTTGTTGTTTCTACAGCGTCCATCACTTGAGAACAGCTGATTTCTAGAATGACGCAGCTCACACACATAGTTGATAACTTGACTATACAATTAGTTTAGTACAATTCATGGCAATAGCTTTGAAGAAGGTGGAGATAAAAAAGTAGGAACAAAGTATGAGAGTTGAAACGCGCTCCAAGTCCAAAATGAAGTTTGAATGAT